GTACCTGTCCATGCTGAATCTGACCCCGTCCGGCCCGTCGTTTTAAAAAGCAAGCACGGAAAGCAAAATAAAGCATTAGCATCAGTGCACCCAGCTAGCCAAGCCTTCCTGGTGTACCAGCTACGGGAGAAGCCGCGCATATACTGCTTCCCTTTCTCGCTAGCCTGCTGTCTGATTGAGAGGTCAGGTTGATCTGGGCCCAGCTCTTTCACCCGAACTTTCTCTGACAAAGTTCTCCTCTCAAACGGATCTTGGAGGAGAGATTTCACCGAGTTAGGGTTGGGTCTTGGAGGAGTAACGTTTGCGCTCACCATTGTCGTCTAGTAAAAATGGCGCCACTGGAGCCCGGTCCTTATTTTATCAGGGGCGAGCTTGGGGCGATAAAATAATCGCCCTCCTTGGATTCGAATTAAAATCGCTGATTAGCTACATTTTATGTCATACATTCATATCTTAAATTAGCAATTGGCTTAACTGCTACGTAGACCCGCCTCCTCGGGGCACTTTCTGTATCGCCCAGAGCTGACGAGGCGTTTGACAGGCAGAGGAAAGGTTGCGAATATGATTTTCTATCATATCTTACACATATTACTGTGTGCATTCCATATTTCAAACACACAAATATTGACATACTGATGTTTCTATTATTATTATTATTATTTTTATTTATTTTTTATTTTATTTTTTTAAATAATTTTATTTAAGGGGGCGGCGCCCTAGCGCCCTCTATCGGCCAGCCGCCACTGGTACCGGTACAGAGCAATGTGCGGGGGCACCGGCTAGTTGAGGTAATTGAGGTAATATATACATGTGGGTAGAGTTAAAGTGACTATGCATAAATAATAAACAGAGTAGCAGCAGCGTAAAAGAGGGGGATGGGGTGGGGTAGTGCAAATAGTCCGGGTAGCCATGATTAGCTGTTCAGGAGTCTTATGGCTTGGGAGTAGAAGCTGTTGAGAAGCCTTTTGGACCTAGACTACCGCACGCTTGCCGTGCGGTAGCAGAGAGAACAGTCTATGACTAGGGTGGCCTTCCTCTGACACTGCCTGGTATACATTTACATTTTAGTCATTTAGCAGACGCTCTTATCCAGAGCGACTTACAGTTAAGTGAGTGCATACATTTTCATACTGGGCCCCCGTGGGAAACGAACCCACAACCCTGGCGTTGCAAGCGCCATGCTCTACCAACTGAGCTACAGGGGACTGGATGGCAGGAAGCTTGGCCCCAGTGATATACTGGGCCGTACGTACTACCCTCTGTAGTGCCTTGCGGTCGGAGGCCGAGCAGTTGCCATACCAGGCGGTGATGCAACCAGTCAGGATGCTCTCGATGGTGCAGCTGTATAACTTTTTGAGGATCTGAGGACCCATGCCAAATCTTTTCAGTCTCCTGGGGGGGAATAGGCTTTGTCGTGCCCTCTTCACGACTGTCTTGGTGTGTTTGGACCATGATAGTTCATTGGTGGATGTGGCCACTACAGCCCCGTCGATGAGAATGGGAGCATGCTCAGTCCTCTTTTTTTTTCCTGTAGTCCACAATCATCTCCTTTGTCTTGGTCACGTTGAGGGAGAGGTTGTTATCCTGGCACCACATGGCCAGATCTCTGACCTCCTCCCTATAGGCTGTCTCATCGTTGTCGGTGATCAGGCCTACCACTGTTGTGTCGTCGGCAAACTTAATGATGGTGTTGGAGTCGTGCCTGGCCATGCAGTCATGGGTGAACAGGGAGTACAGGAGGGGACTGAGCACGCACCCCTGAGGGGCCCCCGTGTTGAGGATCAGCGTGGCAGATGTGTTGTTACCTACCCTTCAGGAAGTCCAGGATCCAGTTGCAGAGGGAGGTGTTTAGTCCCAGGGTCCTTAGCTTTGTGATGAGCTTTGAGGGCTCCTGGCCCGGGTATCCTGGATGGATATTGACCTCATTCCGTCAGTAGAGGATGCCTGGAGGATGCCTGGTTGTTCTTTAAAAGTGCTTTCCTCTCAATTTTAAATAAGCATGCCCCATTCAAAAGATTCAGAACTAAGAACAGATATAGCCCCTGGTTCTCCTCAGACTTGACCACACTTGACCAGCACAAAAACATCCTGTGGCGTACTGCATTAGCATCGAACAGCCCCCGCGATATGCAACTTTTTAGGGAAGTCAGGAACCAATATACACAATCAGTTAGGAAAGCAAAGGCTAGCTTTTTCAAACAGAAATTTGCATCCTGTAGCACTAACTCCAAAAAGTTTTGGGACACTGTAAAGTCCATGGAAAATAAGAGCACCTCCTCCCAACTGCCCACTGCACTGAGGCTAGGAAACACTGTTACCACCGATAAATCTACAATAATCGAAAATTTCAACAAGCATTTTGCTACGGCTGGCCATGCTTTCCACCTGGCTACCACTACCCCGGACACCAGCTCTGCACCCTCCGCTGCAACTTGCCCATGCCCCCCCCCCCCCCCCCGCTTCTCCTTCACACAAATTCAGACAGCTGATGTTCTGAAAGAGCTGAAAAATCTGGACCCCTACAAATCAGCTGGGTTTAGACAATCTGGACCCTTTCTAAAATTAGCCGCCAAAATTGTCACAACCCCTATTACTAGCCTGTTCAACCTCTCTTTCGTAACGTCTGAGATCCCCAGAGATTGGAAAGCTGCTGCGGTCATCCCCCTCTTCAAAGGGGGTGACACTCTAGATCCAAACTGTTATAGACCTATATCCATCCTGCCCTGCCTTTCGAAAGTATTTGAAAGCCAAGTTAACAAACAGATCACCGACCATTTCGAATCCCACCGTACCTTCTCCGCTATGCAATCCGGTTTCCGAGCTGGTCATGGGTGCACCTCAGCCACGCTCAAGGTCCTAAACGATATTATAAACGCGATCGATAAAAGACAGTACTGCGCAGCCGTCTTCATCGACCTGGCCAAGGCTTTCCACTCTGTCAACCACCGCATTCTTATTGGCAGACTAAATAGCCTTGGTTTCTCTAATGACTGCCTCACCTGGTTCACCAACTACTTCTCAGATAGAGTTCAATGTGTCAAATCGGAGGGCCTGTTGTCTGGACCTCTGGCCGTCTCTATGGGGGTGTCACAGGGTTCAATTCTCGGGGCGACTCTATTCTCTGTGTATATCAATGATGTCGCTCTTGCTGCTGGTGACGCTCGGATCCACCTCTATGCGGACGACACCATTTTGTATACATCTGGCCCTTCACTGGACACTGTGTTAACAAACCTGCAAACGAGCTTCAACGCCATACAACACACCTTCCGTAGCCTCCAACTGGTCTTAAACACTAGTAAAACTAAATGCATGCTCTTCAACCGAACGCTGCTTGCACCCGCCCACCCGACTAGAATCACTACTCTCGGCGGGTCTGACCTAGAGTATGTGGACAACTACAAATACCTAGGTGTCTGGTTAGACTGTAAACTCTCCTTCCAGACTCACATTAAGCATCTCCAATCAAAAGTTAGATCTAGAATCAGCTTCCTATTTCGCAACAAAGCCTCCTTCACTCATGCTGCCAAACATGCCCTCGTAAAACTGACTATCCTACCGATCCTTGACTTCGGCGATGTCATTTACAAAATAGCCTCCAACACTCTACTCAGCAAATTGGATGTAGTCTATCACAGTGCCATCCGTTTTGTCACCAAAGCCCCATATACTACCCACCATTATGACCTGTACGCTCTTGTTGGCTGGCCCTCACTACATATTCGTCGCCAAACCCACTGGCTCCAGGTCATCTATAAATCACTGCTAGGCAAATCCCTGTCTTATCTTAGCTCACTGGTCACCATAGCAACACCCACCCGTAGTCTGCGCTCCAGCAGGTATATCTCACTGGTCATCCCCAAAGCCAACACCTCCTTTGGCCGCCATTCCTTCCAGTTCTCTGCTGCCAATGACTGGAACGAACTGCAAAAATCTCTGAAGCTGGAGACTCTTATCTGCCTCACTAACTTTAAGCGTCAGTTGTCAGAGCAGCTTACCGATCACTGCACCTGTACACAGCCTTTCTGAAATTAGCCCACCCAAGTACCTCATCCCCATATTGTTATTTATTTTGCTAATTTGCACCCCAGTATCTCTATTTTCACATTATCTTTTGCACATCTATCATTCCAGTGTTATACGAAATTGTAACTATTTTGCATTATGGCCTATTTATTGCCTTACCTCCATAACTTACTACATTCGCACACACTGTATATATATTTTCAGTTGTAGTTTTGACTTTATGTTTTGTTTACCCCATATGTAACTCTGTGTTGTTGTTTTTATCGCACTGCTTTGCTTTATCTTGGCTAGGTCACAGTTATAAATGAGAACTTGTTCTCAACTGGCTTACCTGGTTAAATAAAGGTGAAATAAAAAAATAAAAAATAAAAAGGGCACAATGAACGCTGAGCTGTAGTTATGTTTGGAGGAAAAAAGGGGGTGGCTTGCAAGCCGACGAACACCATCCCAACCGTGAAGCACGGGGGTGGAAGCATCATGCTGTGGGGGTGCTTTGCTGCAGGAGGGACTGGTGCACTTAAAAAAATAGATGGCATCATGAGGAAGGAAAATTATGTGGATATATTGAAGCAACATCTCAAGACATCAGTCGGGAAGTTAAAGCTTGGTCGCAAATGTGTCTTCCAAATGGACAATGACCCCAAGCATACTTCCAAAGTTGTGGCAAAATGGCTTAAGTACAACAAAGTCAAGGTAATGGAGTGGCCATCACAAAGCCCTGACCTCAATCCTATAGAAAATGTGTGGGCAGAACTGAAAAAGCATGTGCGAGCAAAGAGGCCTACAAACCTCTGACCCACTGGGAATTTTTACTAGGATTAAATGTCAGGAATTGTAAAAAACAGAGTTTAAATATATTTGGCTAAGGTGTATGTAAACTTCCGACTTCAACTGTACAGTCTCCGCAACAGCCCTAACTGTACACATAGATCACAGTCATTTCACAAACATACACAGGCATGCACACACGCACCCACGCAAGTGAGGAGAAGACAGAGAAGGAGGGGGCTCCTGTACCTCTCATTGTTGGTAATGTCCAGGTGTCTGTGGATGGACATGAAGGCCTGTTTGAGGAAGCTGATCCTCTTCCTCTCCTCCTCCTGCGATTGATCAAAAATGGCCTCCATCTCCTCCATGTAGTGAGGCGTGTAGGACGTTAGATCCTCCAACACCTTCTCATATTTCTTGCAGACCTTTCATCAGAGCATTCATACCATCAAAACAGGTCTTGACAACAAAGACTGTGTAAGCTTGCCTATATCAATTCAAATTATTTACTACTGGATAAACAAAGATGGCGCATACCAATAACATGGAAGGCGGTTACTGTGGTGGTTACAATAACACATTTTTGACACTGCCATAATAAGAAACAGTATGTGGGGGAAAATGGAGTAAACCATATGGGGGCATGGGATTAGGAAAGTGCAAAATGTCCATATCTGGCTAGTAGAGCATCCCACACTCTCTTAGATGAATGAATATACATTTAGCAGTTGTGAGTTCGTAGCCTTTGAGTTTTCCTCACTTTGTCTTTCTCCTCACTGGCCTTCTCCCGAGCGTCTTGGATCTTCTTCAGTTTCTCAGGACTCAGCTCTGTGTTCTGCTTGGCTTGCGTCTCTCTGTCTATGGCTACCTGTTCCTTATGGCAGGCCTTATGGTACACACCGCAGGCTTTATCCAGCTACGACATACAGGAACAAAAATATGCAAAACAAAGTTAAAACACTTTGTATGACCTGCTTCCATGAACATGACATTAGTCATCAGACCTGGGTTAAAATACTTTTTTAATTGTTTCAAATACTTTTAGCTTTTGCTTTAGCCTGACTGGAGTGCCAAGTGGGTGGGGTTTGCACATTTGGGACTTTTTAATTGGTTCCAATGCAACAGGCATCTCAATCCAACACAGCTAAAGTATTTGAAATGATTTCAAATAGTATTTGAATGCAGTTCGGCTACTCATAGCCATGGGTCCTCAGATCCTCAAAAAATTATACAGCTGCACCATCGAGAGCATCCTGACTGGTTGCATCACCGCCTGGTATGGCAACTGCTTGGCCTCCGACCGCAAGGCACTACAGAGGGTAGTGCGTACGGCCCAGTACATCACTGGGGCCAAGCTTCCTGCCATCCAGGACCTCTATACCAGGCGGTGTCAGAGGAAAGCCCTCAAAATTGTCAAAGACTCCAGCCACCCTAGTCATAGACTGTTCTCTCTGCTACCGCACGGCAAGCGGTACCGGAGTGCCAAGTCTAGGTCCAAAAGACTTCTCAACAGCTTCTACCCCCAAGCCATAAGACTCCTGAACAGCTAATCATGGCTACCCGGACTATTTGCACTGCCCCCCCAACCCCATCCTTTTACGCTGCTGCTACTCGGTAAATTTTTATGCATAGTCACTTTAACTCTGCCCACATGTACATATTACTTCAACTACCTCAACTAGCCGGTGCCCCCGCACATTGACTCTGCACCGGTACCCCCCTGTATATATAGCCTCCCTACTGTTATTTTATTTTACTTCTGCTCTTTTTTTTCTCAACACTTTTGTTGTTGTTGTTTTATAAATGCACTGTTGGTTAAGGGCTGTAAGTAAGCATTTCACTGTAACGTCTGCACCTGTTGTATTCGGCGCATGTGGCCAATAAAATTTGATTTGATTTGATTTGAGGTTAAAAGAACAACTCCCTTAGGAGTAATCCAATCACTATAATAGGGTGTGCCTCATACAGTAGGCTACATAAAATATACTTTGAGGGTTCAGGAATGTATCACCTAGATTCTAATCTTACCAGCAATGGTGAGCCTTGCATGCTACTTCTATAGAGAACCAGTTAGTCCTATAGTTCACGTTCTCGTAATCAATCAATAGGGATGTGAACATCTATAGTACAATCCCCCCAACACACACACAAGCCCATTTGGTCAGTTCATAAAGATGTTATGTACACCTAACATATAGGTTTTGTAACCTTTCCCAGCCTCTTGGCCCAAGGTTTCTGAGCGCGTGCAAACCCTGTCTCGTTTTCGTGGGTCTCACGGAATCCACAGAATATATTTTTTGGGAAGGTCTCCTTCTGCCAGCTCTTCATCCTATTCCCTTCCTCTGTATGGAGAGACTGGGAGATAGAGGAATGGAGGATGGATAGACGCTCAGCGGAAGAGAAGAAACACTGCCACGCCCTCATGAGGGAGCCATAGAGGGGCCCTAGGGTGAGAGAGACGAGAAAGGGAAAGACAAAAAGAGAGAGAGGGAAAGACAAAAAGAGAGAGGTAAGACTTACCTGATTAGGGAATAGTAACTAATTCGACTGATTATAAAAAGACCAGGTAGGAGGAATGGGGATAGTGTACTTGTTCATAGTTTTGATAGGAGTTTATAATGAGCACTATAGTATCGTAGTGCAGTACTGAAGTCCTACTTGTCCTATACTTACGGGAGTCTACTACGGCCTTCCACTTGCTGCTCCACTCACTGAGTTGCTGGGCGTAGTGCTTCTCTACTTTAGCCCTCTCAAGGAAACAGGCCATGATATCGTTACATGCCTGGAAGGACTGGTCAGTGCGACGGGCGGTTTGCTCATAGTTCCCTGGCTGGGGAGGAAGAGGGGGAGAGAGGAATGGTGGAGAGAGGAATTGATCAGGAGGAAGAGGGAAACTGTAGAAAGGGGTATTGCTATAGAATTGACTCTTCAGTTATGAGAACGCATACACTATATATACAAAAGTATGTGGACACCCCTTCAAATTAGTGGATTCAGCTATTTCAGCCACACTCGTTGCTGACAGGTGCATAACATCTGGCAGTCCGACGGAATAATCTGGGTTTGGCAGATGCCAGGAGAACGCTACCTGCCTGAAAGCATAGTGCCAAGTGTAACGTTTGGTGGAGGAGGAATAATGGTCTGGGTCTGTTTTTCATGGTTCGGGCTAGGCCCCTTAGTTCCAGTGAAGGGAAATATTTACGCTACAGTATACAATGACGTTCTAGATGATTCTGTGCTTTCAACTTTGTGGCAACAGTTTGGGGAAGGCCCTTTCCTGTTTCAGCATGACAATGCCCCTGTGCACAAAGCGAGGTCCATTCAGAAATGTTTTGTTGATCGGTGTGGAAGAACTTGACTGGACTGCACAGAGCCCAGACCTCAACCCCATCGAACACCTTTGGGATGAATTGGAACGCCGACTGCGAGCCAGGCCTAATCGCCCAACATTAGTGCCCGACCTCACGAATGCTCTTGTGGCTGAATGGAAGCAAGTCCCTGCAGCAATGTTCCAACATCTAGTGGAAAGCCTTCCCAGAAGAGTGGAGGCTGTTATAGCAGCAAAGGGGGGACCAACTCCATATTAATGCCCATGATTTTGGAAACAGGTGTCCACATACTTTTGGTCATGTCGTGTAGATAATCAGTAGCCTCAAACTATTGTAAAATGTTGATCTTTTTATCTGTAACTTCCTCCTCACCATCCAGAAACTCTGCATCCTGGTGTCCTCGGGGGGTTCTCTAGGGAGCGTCAACATTTTTGGCGACGTCTTTGAAGAAGAAAGGGAAAGATCATGAACAACATCCTACAGTGCTTTCACAGAGATTGCATCATTACATGAAGTATATCAACAGATATATAATTACACAATTGACATCTATCTTTTAAATATAAACACTTAGCTCATAAATCTGAAATGTGCATGCCAGTGACCATTCTTAATGAAATTTTTAGGCTTGATGACATAATTAGTAAACACAGAATTTACTCAAATTAAATATGATTAGGAATATACAGAATCTCATTGAAATGGAAAATGCAACAAAAAACAACTGACTCCTACAGTGTGCCTACAGTGCTGGAACCAGCTGCGACTTGATGAGACATTATTAGGGGTTCACAGCGAAGCCGTGAAACCTATTGCTATTCTCTGCATGGTCAAAAAACTCAAGCCTAGATTGGTAACTTTTTTTCCTAATTTGGCACACAGAAACGTTGTCAAAAAGAATGGCACCGATTGGCATATAGGTGGCGCTGTTATAAGCAGTCTCAGTTAAACCCTCATATCCGTCGCCCCATTTGACCTAGAGACTTTAAACTTTGTATGTAGGTGTCTTTCCTCATGCTGAACAAATTTGCCTCAAGGACCCATAAGGTATACATACAGTGCAATCGAAAAGAATTCAGACCCCTTCACTTTTTCCACATTTTGTTACATTACAGCCTTATTCATCAATCGACACACAACACCCCATAATGAAAGTAAAAACTGGTTTTTCGAACTTTCTGCAAATGTAAAATATATATATATATATATATAACATTAACATAAGTATTCAGACCCTTTACTCAGTACTTTGTTGAAGCACCTTTGGCAGCGATTAAAGCCTTGAGTCTTCTTGGGTATGACGCTACAAGCTTGGCACACCTGTATTTGGGGAGTTTCTCCCATTCGTCTCTGCAGATCCTCTCAAGCTCTGTCAGGTTGGATTGGGAGGGTCGCTGCACAGCTATTTTCAGGTCTCTCCAGAGATGTTCGATCGAGTTCAAGTCCGGGCTATGGCTGGGCCACTCAAGGACATTCAGAGACTTGTCCCGAAGCCACTCCTGCGTTGTCTTGGCTGTGGGCTTAGGGTCATTGTCCTGTTGGAAGGTGAACCTTCGCCCCAGTCTGAGGTCCTGAGCGCTCTGGAGCAGGTTTTCATCAAGGATCTCTCTGTACTTTGCGCCGTTCATCTTTCCCTCGATCCTGACTAGTCTCCCAGTCCCTGCCACTGAAAAACATCCCCACAGCATGATGCTGCCACCACCATGCTTCACCGTAGGGATGGTGCCAGGTTTCCTCCAGACGTGACGCTTGGCATTCAGGCCAAAGCGTTCAATCTTGGTTTCATCAGACCAGAGCATCTTGTTTCTCATGGTTGGAGAGTCTTTAGGTGGCTTTTGGAAAACTCCAAGCGGGCTGTCATGTGCCTTTTTACTGAGGAGTGGCTTCCGTCTGACCACTCTACCATAAAGACCTGATTGGTGGAGTGCTGCAGAGATGGTTGTCCTTCTGGAAGGTTCTCCCATCTCCACAGAGGAACTCTGGAGCTCTGTCAGAGTGACCATTGGGTTCTTGGTCACCAGTGTCACCAACAAAACACCCACACACCATAACACCTACTCCTCCATGCTTTATGGTGGGAACTACACATGCAGAGATAATCCGCTCACCCATACAGCGTCTCACAAAGACACGGCGGTTGGAACCAAAAATCTCCAATATGGACTCCAGATCAAAGGACACATTTCCACCAGTCTAATGTCCATTGCTCGTGTTTCTTGGCCCAAGCAAGTCTCTTCTTCTTATTGGTGTCCTGTAGTAGTGGTTTCTTTGCAGCAATTAGACCACGAAGGCCTGATTCACAGTCTCCTCTGAACAGTTGATGTTGAGATGAGTCTGTTACTTGAACTCTGTGAAGCATTTATTTCGGCTGCAATTTCTGAGGCTGGTAACTCTAATGAACTTATCCTCTGCAGCAGAGATAACTCTGGGTCTTCCATTCCTGTGGCGGCCCTCATGAGAGCCAGTTTCATCATAGCGCTTGATGGTTTTTGCGACTGCACTTGAAGAAATGTTCAAAGTTTTTGAAATGTTCCATATTGACTGACGTTCATGTCTTAAAGTAATGATGGACTGTCGTTTCTCTTTGATTATTTGAGCTGTTCCTGCCATAATATGGACTTGGTCCTTTACCAAATAGGGCTATCTTCTGTACACCCCCCTACCCTACCTTGTCACAACACAACTGATTGGCTCAAACGCATTAAAAAGGAAATTAACTTTTAAGAAGGCACACTTGTAATTTAAATGCATTCCAGGTGACTACCTCATGAAGCTGGTTGAGAGAATGCCAAGAGTGTGCAAAGCTGTCATCAAGGCAAAGGGTGGCTATTTGAAGAATCTCAAATATGGAATATATTTTGATTTGTTTAACACTTTTTTGGTTACTAAATTATTCCATATGTGTTATTTCATAGTTGTGATGTCTTCACTATTATTCTACAATAAAGAAAATAGTAAAAATAAAGAAAAACCCTTGAATGAGTAGGTGTGTCCAAACTTTTGACTGGTACTGTATATATATACACTGTTCAAATAAATAAAGGGAACACTTAAACAACACAATGTAACTCCAAGTCAATCACACTTCTGTGAAATCAAACTGTCCACTTAGGAAGCAACACTGATTGACAATACATTTCACATGCTGTTGAAATGCAATTAGCAAGACACCCCCAATAAAGGAATGGTTCTGCAAGTGGTGACCACAGACCACTTCTCAGTTCCTATGCTTCCTGGCTGATGTTTTGGTCACTTTTGAATGCTGGCGGTGCTTTCACTCTAGTGGTAGCATGAGACGGAGTCTACAACCCACACAAGTGGCTCAGGTAGTGCAGCTCATCCAGGATGGCACATCAATGCGAGCTGTGGCAAGAAGGTTTGCTGTGTCTGTCAGCGTAGTGTCCAGAGCATGGAGGCGCTACCAGGAGACAGGCCAGTACATCAGGAGACGTGGAGGAGGCCGTAGGAGGGCAACAACCCAGCAGCAGGACCGCTACCTCCGCCTTTGTGCAAGGAGGAGCAGGAGGAGCACTGCCAGAGCCCTGCAAAATGACCTTCAGCAGGCCTCAAATGTGCATGTCTGCTCAAACGGTCAGAAACAGACTCCATGAGGGTGGTATGAGGGCCCGACGTCCACAGGTGGGGGTTGTGCTTACAGCCCAACACCGTGCAGGACGTTTGGCATTTGCCAGAGAACACCAAGATTGGCAAATTCGCCACTGGCGCCCTGTGCTCTTCACAGATGAAAGCAGGTTCACACTGAGCACATGTGACAGACGTGACAGTCTGGAGACACCGTGGAGAACGTTCTGCTGCCTGCAACATCCTCCAACATGACCGGTTTGGCGGTGGGTCAGTCATGGTGTGGGGTGGCATTTCTTTGGGGGGCCGCACAGCCCTCCATGTGCTCGCCAGAGGTAGCCTGACTGCCATTAGGTACCGAGATGAGATCCTCAGACCCCTTGTGAGACCATATGCTGGTGCGGTTGGCCCTGGGTTCCTCCTAATGCAAGACAATGCTAGACCTCATGTGGCTGGAGTGTGTCAGCAGTTCCTGCAAGAGGAAGGAATTGATGCTATGGACTGGCCCGCCCGTTCCCCAGACCTGAATCCAATTGAGCACATCTGGGACATCATGTCTCGCTCCATCCACCAACGCCACGTTGCACCACAGACTGTCCAGGAGTTGGCGGATGCTTTAGTCCAGGTCTGGGAGGAGATCCCTCAGGAGACCATCCGCCACCTCATCAGGAGCATGCCCAGGCGTTGTAGGGAGGTCATACAGGCACGTGGAGGCCACACACACTACTGAGCCTCATTTTGACTTGTTTTAAGGACATTACATCAAAGTTGGATCAGCCTGTAGTGTGGTTTTCCACATTAATTTTGAGGGTGACTCCAAATCCAGACCTCCATGGGTTGATAAATTTGATTTCCATTGATAATTTTTGTGTGATTTTGTTGTCAGCACATTCAACTATGTAAAGAAAAAAGTATTTAATAAGATTATTTCATTCATTCAGATCTAGGATGTGTTGTTTAAGTGTTCCCTTTATTTTTTTGAGCAGTGTATATGTATATATATATATAAACTCAATACATTAAGCCAATCTAGAGCACTAGACTAAACTTCACTTGCATCATCCTTGTGGTAATGAGAGATAAACATGGTAATGCTTTCGCTGATTGCACAGAAAAGGATGATAGGTCCTACATGATAGAGTGCTTGCTTTGTTATCCAACTGATATGGTGTCTTTTCTGTCATCCTGTGAACCCTGTTCATTGCTGCTCGCAGCTATAGTTCATACATTACATTGCTTACATCTATGCTATATCGGAACCTATCGTGAGTATGGGGAGTGTCATTCCGAGACTGAATTTATAGGTTGGAATCTAACAGCAGGAATTGAACACCCCAGCTCTGACATTCTTTCTGCTGCTGTCCCAAAATAAACAGGAGGGAAAGGTCATCTTTCCCTGGCTCTGACTAACAGCCTCCCTATTAGCTGAGCCATCTTCTCCTCTCACTTACAGTATGTCCCTTTAACATGGAAAACATGACAACAAAGTGCGAGGGGAGAAAGCTTGGGTTTGGAAAACAAATAATACTGTAGTCAAAGTTTTTTTTGAAATTAACACATGAGGTTATGTCAGTATAAGAGGTTTTCTGATCAGTACAATATAATACAGATCCATACACAAACACACAAGCACTCAGAGACACTTACAATGCCTATTTTTGTCTCCATAACACATTGGCACTTTATTGTTGGAGTGATCATTTCCTCTGTGTGAAACGGAGTATCAATTGGCTAGTTTGTCTTTGCTCCGTTTCACACACTGAACAGTTAGACAATAATTCCAATAAAAAGACATTCAAGTTGTGTTCAAATAATTGAAATGATAAAGTCCTCATTCAAACATGACAAAATAAAAACCATGCCTGGGAGAAATCATCACTTACACGTCTCTCTCTGAATCACTAGTGACTACTCAAGTTAGTTAGTTATTGGGCCATTCAGACTTTCTCTCAGTCTCTCTTTTCTCTCCGTGTCTCTTCTACAAAACATGCTCCTCACTCACTGACACAATTTTCCCTGGCACTTACAGTTACACACACCAGTGTGATCTGAAAGAGTGAGTCACCAAGGCAAAGCCAACAAAAGTAAGACAAAGACTGTGAATTTGCATGAAAAACAATGATTGATTGGCAAGAGGAAAAATAAAGAGAATTCTTACCTTTCACTCTTCCGCTGTTGGCGGTGCTGTTCTAGCCTAATACTTATTCCACTGTTGGTCAACTTTCTCTTGCTGTTTTCTGAAGTTTTATCCAAGTCTTCCCCTATTCACTCACTCTCCCCCATCCCTCCTTTTTTTCTTCTCGTAGTTTCCTTGACACTCTCAGTGTCAGATGATTTGTTTAGTCTACCCCTTCTTGCTCTCTCACTTTCCCTCTCTACAACTCCTACTGTATAGTCTATTACAAAAACGAACTTCCTCCTCCTCCTTTCCTGCCCTCCCTCTCTCTCTCAATATGGTGCTAAAGAACTGTAGTGTCGACACGTTAAGTAGGCCCAAGAGTATGCTAAGTTTATTTCGACCCTCTACACAGCGTTGTGTCAATGTGGCACTGCATCATGGGATCTTATTAGTGTGTGTGTGTGTAAGGAGCAGCCCTGTGAAATGTCACATTCACCCTGGGCACCTTTGCAACACTCCATTCTCTGATGTGACGGAATTTGTCATAACTGCCAAAGAGACTATGCCACATACTCCCAGACCACATAATGCGCATGCTGCCACACTGCTTGCATGCAAAGTGAGGGTTGGGGTTTCCCTGATGCAATGGGTCCTGGAAACACACTGCATCAGAACCTGTCCAAGTATGTCAAGGAATGACTTCTCATTGACCCCTAGCTGGTTTCTCAGTTTTCCTCCCTGACTACCCACTTCTTAAAGACCCACCTTACCTCCTACAGTGTATGATTACAACAGATGAATCCAAGTACTTAGTGGCCTCGTTTCCTCATTCTGCCAGATCTGAAGTAATCCTGAACATGAGAACAATATGCTGTAAGGCCCCTGGTGGGCTGGGAGGAGGAGAAGCTGCCAAATGAGTCAATCATAACAGAACAGTCTAGATTGGATCTTTATGTGAACCTAGAAACCTTTGATTCAGAGAGGGAAAAAATATCAAGACAGTTCAATAGTTTATTCAGCATTTATTTCAACACCTTAGTTATAACTCTTATCATATTTTATCAGTATATTTCTGTACTTCATTTTAAACAAAATTTCATAAATACCTCTTATTTCTGCATACATTTGCTCATACTGTATATATTCATCATATTCATTATATGTTTATATTACTAGTCCTAAAATACTCTTTAAATCATAGAACATAATGCTTTCTACACTACCGCTCAATCATTTCCATTGGAAGGTTCTTGAATGACAACAACCTTAAAGAATGTGTGTTGTTGTGCATTAGTTTCACAGGAATGATAAAGTAGGTAATGGTCGGACTAGTAGAGCAGTACAGAAAGCATTTACCGGAAATAATAAATAAAGAGAACGAAACAAAACAAGTAGCTTCACATACTTTCTCACACTATTTGGAAGACAAGAGATTCTGTAGTGTTTAGAATGTTTACATATACCTAATCATTAATATAATAATTATTGTTAAATTATACTATAATTGATGTTATTACTGTCATCATCATAATCATTATATTATATAGGCCAGGGATGGGCAAACTGCCGGCCGCCCCCTTTTGCAGGCCTGCGGATCAATACAAAAAAATTATATAAATAATAATAATATGTTTGGGGGGGGGGGGCTGAGTCAGGGTTTTGCTTTTGTTAGGTCAGTCACAGACAGTCACTCAATTAGCCCATGTCAGCTAAATTGTTTTAGGTTGGTAAGTTAGTCTAGCCAGATATCTAAACTTGTGGTAATCATGGTTGAATTACTGTCGGGGGGGGGGGGGGGGGGGGGGCTATTGATTTAGTTAGTTACTTTCACGCAGATATCATATTAAAAACTGCAAACATTTCTTTCCACCCTATGGCAAAATGAGTAGAACTGCAGGAAATTAGTTATACTACTGCTAAATCTTCTCTCCGCCCCGTGGCAAAATGTGTAGAATTGCAGCAAACTTGTCACTTAGGTCCCCAAAAGGCTAGGGCCAGCTCTGACTGCACGTGTGGGTATGGATGTGGGTACGCAGACCCGTAAGCCACTGCGGCCCCTCATGATGAGTTCAGATTTTGTGGCCCCCACCCCCATCAAAGTTGCCCATCACTGATATAGACCTATAAATGATGTGTAAAAACGTTGAGTGTACTCCTCACCTTACAATGCATTTCACTGAAGGCAATAGCAAACAGGTATCTAAAAGAGCCTGTGTGTGTGTGTGTGTGTGTGCGAGTGTTTGTGTGTGTGTGTGTGTGTGTGTGTGTGTGTGTGTCTTTTTCTGAAATATGTGGATCTGAAAAAGTGCTCTCTTGAGAGAGATTTCGTAGAGAATATTATGAAATAGGGCAAAGTTAGGATTGTCAACTGGCGCAAAATATACATCTCTACGTTTTCTAACCGTTAGAAAACTGGCGTTGAGTTGTGGAGAAGGCATAAGAGAGAGGGGCAGAGGGTGGGTAAAGGATCCTGGGTAACAAGGCAGGCTGACAAACAGATCGCCATACACAGACACACACTCAGAGGGAAAAGGCTAAGGTAACCAGACACCATATAGACTGACAGACACGCAGTATAAGCCCTTTTTGATCGTTGCACCTGTGCGTGAGTGAACATGGGATAAAAGACGCTCACATCCCTGGACATGTGCTATGCTCGTAAACATCAACATCATGAATGAATGACAAGTAGCGGTTTAGTGTAAAATGACATGAGTTCTTAGCAAACTCTGAGACATGGCTGTGGACTCCTTCCAGCCATGTCTCAGGGAAAAACAAACCCATATTAAACTCTCCTCTGCCCCTCTCTGACATACTCCTGCCAGCCTTTCTAAAGATAATAACCATGATTATAATAATGTCATTTTACGACTATGTTTTGTATATTTGTAGAATATTTGTCATTAAACACACATTTGAATGATTAAATATCAATAAGACCCTGACCTGTTTGAAATGAATTATTGCAATCAGCACTTGGTACAAAACAAATTAATGTACCTTTCCATTTTATGACCATATTCTGAAGTTTACACATGCCAACCATAGCTTCCAATCCCATTATATAATATGTGTAAAGTCAAAGTTTGCGCATGAATCTCAGGACAAGTTAGAATAGGGCCCTTACTGTTTATTAGAGGAACTTCACCACTACCTTTAGTTTATCCATGGGCTTACCCTCTCTGTATGGGTAGCAGCATTCCAATCTCAAGATTCTTGTTAGCATTTCTCCTTTTATTGTAACTCAGGCAGCAGTCAAATGTGTGTGTGTGTTCATGTGTTAATTAAAAGCCTATTTATCAGTAGTTGTACAGTGTGTGTAAATTGTATTGTTTAAGACATGATTGTGTGTCGTAAGTGTTTCTACACGTGCAATCAATGTTAATCTCAAAAAAGATTCCAAACAATTGTCCTCCACTCATACCAAATCTCTCTTGGCGTGATTAAGCCTTGTCCATCATGATCCCTTCCTGTCTTAGTCACTCACAGTCTGTTTGTATCCATTGGTCTTCTTTAGTTTTCATCTCAGTCAGTTTGTTTCTCTGTCTTTCTCTGAGCTCTGAGTCACCTCATCTTTCACTCTCTCAGTTTGTGGCTCAGGGGAGGGGCTAGGGTCATGCATTGGAGAGAAGAGCCTGAGGAAAGAGGGAGGAGGGTAAATCAAGAAATAAGAATGAATAGAAAATGAATAAGGAGTGAATGTAGTAAATGAAATATGAGAGAGAGAGAGAGATGGAATAACTTAACTTAAAATGCTTTATGACTAAAAGGGAAGGGGATGGAATCATCTGGCTCGCAGGGAAGGAAAGAGGCACTTGTCTTTCCTTCTCCATCCATCCTTCTTTTTCTCTCTCGTTATTTCCACTTGCCACCTGGCTGACATGTAGCCTCTGTCTGTGCGTTGACTCTGTTCATGCCGCTCCTTCCTCACCTGTCAGTCAGTCTCTTCAGTGCTCTTTCGATGTTCATGCGGTGGCCGACGCGCGTCACCCCCAGATCCAGGAAGTCGTCCTTGGTTAGGGAGGGCAGGTGGGAGCCGTCGATCTCGTTGTCCAGGAAGCGCTCCCGGTGCTCCCCCAGGTTTAGGTAGGCCAGCCAGTCGGCCACGTCCCACTTGGTCCAGTAGGACAGGGGCTTGATGGTAAAGGGCTTGGCTGGGGGAGGAGGGGTGAGATGGGGGTAGCTGAGGCAGGACGGAGAGGGGGGCAGGTGCATGGAGGGTGAGGAGGCACCGGAGAGGAACTGGGTGGGGGAAAGGGAGCGGGAGACCAGGAGGGCACAGGGAGGTTGTGGGGATGTGGGGAAGAGAGGAGGGGTGGAGGGGTTATAAGGGTCTCCTAGGGCGTGGCCTGGGGATGAAGGGGTGAGAGGATTGGGAAAATCAAAGGGGGTGTTGTAGACATGGGTGCTGGGGAGGATGGGGAGGGAAGTGGGTCTGGTAGGGGCGGGGCTGGGGCGGTCTGTGGAGTATATGAGGGGGCTGGGGGCGCGCCGGCGGGACACAGACGACCTCAGCTCTGGACCAGGGGTACACTGGAAGTCAAATATCTTGGCTCCACGGTACTTAGTGCGATGTTTGGGTGACGTGGGATAGGGTGAGTAGGTGGGGGAGAGGGGAGGGTGGGAGGAGTGAGAGGGGGAGGTGGGTATCTGGGGAGAGGGGGAGTGGGTCCAGTTGGGCTGCAGCGTGGGCTGGTGGGAGGGCGAGCCAGAGGGGGTGGCGGTGAGATTGGGGGTGAGGATTGGCGGGCGATGCTGCGGGGAGGAGGTGGGTAAGGGGGAAGTGGAGCCGGCCGTGGGGGGGCTCTGAAATGAGACGGAGAAATCCCCCGAATATCTGAAAGAGAAGAAAAGTAAAAGGGGTTATTGTGCTTCAGTACACAATGCACTTAGTGAAACATTTAGAATTGACTAAACAGCAGCAGCCTCACCTGTGCATTGTGGGCGACCTCGGACTAATGGGACTCTGACCTCGCATCTCAGACTGACCCCAGTCGTCTGTGCTCTTATTGCTCATCTGCTGCAGCTTGGAGCTCAGCTCGTTGATGATGCTGGCCTTCACCCCCGAGAGGGGCGAGTGCAGCCTGCGCCCCTCCATAGACATCCCACCCCTCTGGGCCTCGCCTCGCTCCAGGCCCTGTCCCAAGTCGACCCCCTCTGTTGACCCCCTCTGCTCCAGTGTGTTGGGCCGCTCCAGACAGGCACCCAGGGTGGAACCGAAGCCGTCCTCCATCTTGGGTCGACTCTGTCTGCGTTGTTTCCTCTCGTCCGCTGCTCCTCCCTCTCCTCTCCTGGCCTCCTCCTCTGGGTTAGCCTGTCTCTGGGGGTGTGGTGGGGTGCTCTGGTAGGGCGGGTTGGTGCTCACCTGTCGACGCAACGCTTCCCTTGTGTCCTTGATACCGCCCTCTTTGTACTGCATCGTCTTTGGATACACGGTGGGTTTGGCCGTGGGTTTGGCGTGGTGCGCTTCAAACGCTTGCCCGCCTGAGTAGGTCATGTAAGGATCCGGGTGCTCACCCCCCCATCTCTCCCCTTCCACTCCTCCTCCTCCTCTCTCACCCCTCAGTCCACTCACTCCTAGTATTTCCAGGTGCTGGTCGCTGCTGCTGTGGCTGTCCAGCTCCTCGATCCCAGAGTCCACCACCGTCTCTGTCTGCCAGTCGCCAGTCTTCCTCATGGAGGGGTGGTGGTCTCCTGCCTTGCCTGCAGCGCTGATGGCGGTTCTGGGGGCTGTCAGAGATGCATTGTAGTCTGACGACACCGCAGAGGCTGTGGTAGTAGTGGCGGCGGTCATGGTCATTGTTGTGGCGTAGGTCATAGTCGTAGTGAGGGTGGCCGGGCCTCGGTCCTGTGCTAAGGTCATTGGGGGAGCAGGGGCACCCATATTAGCAGGGTTAACCGGTACGGTGGGGCCACTGAAGAAGGGGTGTGCATGGGACATGGGCTGGGGTCTGTGGAGTGAGGGTGCGGGTCCGGGTAAAATGGAGGCGGCTGTGGTGGTGGAGGAAGGGGGGAATATCTGGGGCGAAGGGAGGGAGGGAGATAGACCTGACTGGGTGAGGTTGGCCACCTCGCTGTCGTAGGATGTGAGGCTGGAGGCGGCAGAGTCCCCGGCCTGGGGGGAGGGGAGGGGGGCGTTGGAGGGGAAGCCTCCTGGTGGAGGTACTTTAGGAGAGGGGAGAGGGGGCGGCGGGGGTGGCATGGCGGAAGAGGCGTGTTGAGCTGAGTGTTGATGCTGTTGAGGGTATCCCTTCTGCAGTTCTCTCTGACCTTGGCCGTTGGCGAACTGCAAGGGAGGGGGCAGGGGGTCAACAAAGACAAACTCATCATCCAAGTCTATCGAGGGGGCAGGCGGGGGAAGAACCATGAGCCCCAGTCCTCCTCCTACTCCTCCCTCTCCCGCACCTTCATGTGGGTGGGCTGGGGCTGCAGCGAGGGTGTACTGGGGGATGTAGCTAGCGTTTGCACTGCTCTCCATCTGCAGGAACGAGGGTCTGCGGGGTGCAGGCTGAGGCGGCGGGCCGGGCGGCTGCATGGGCGGGCCAGGTGGCTCCCTGTCTCTAGGACTCTGTTGGTAATACTGGGTCTGGTACTGGTTGGTTCTGTCCTCTGAAAAGCGAACTCTGAGGCCCTCTCTAGCTCCAGGCGCCTGGTCCCTCTCCACTCTCTCTCCTCCCCCTCCCAAGCGTAATATCCTGGGTGACTGTGGGCGGTTCAGGGAGGCGTGGGAGGTGGTGGCAGTGGATGTGGGGAACAGGGATGGTGTGGGAGACGGGAGAGATGTAGGGAACACCCCCACACTGGACATCTGCCGGCCAAAGTGCCGCTCCTCCCGTCGGGTCCTCCGGTCGTCCTTGAGGGCCCTCTCCCGTGCAGCCAGCGCCAGGCCCAGGGGGGACGAGGGGTCCAGGACCTTCCCAGTCAGAGGGTGGATGAAGGTGGTGGCCGGAGAGCCTGGGCCGTAGTTGGAGGGAGCGGACTTGGGCTGGCCATCCTGGCCTATCACAGGGGAGTGGTACTCAGGCAGCCCAAAGGCAGGGGGCATACTGCTGGCGTAGTGGACGTAATTGTCCCTAGAGAACATGCCCTCGTCAATGGACTTGGAGGGGCGGAGGCGGGGAGTGGGGACATCCATCTCCATCCCCTGTAGGGGCTTGGTCCATACCCCTCCACCTCCCCCCGCCTCCCCTTGAATGTCCTCTTCGGAGGAGAGGAAGAAGGAGGCACTCTTCCTCCTCATGTCACGGAAACGTTCCCGGTCCCGGCGCGCTGCCCCGACGAAGGCCCCCCCGAACTGGGTGCTGAAGTCCAGGTTCTCCGGGTCAGGGGGCAGCTGGGGGGCGACAGTCGAAGGGGTCATGGGGGAGGAGACAGGGGGCTGGGGTGGTGAGGGGGCCACGATGGAAGGCAGGCCGGGGGTGGTGGGGGTGTCGGGAGAGGCAGGGGAGGAGGTAGGGTCGTCTATGTCGGGAGGCAGCTGCTCGGCGTCCATGCTGCTGCCCTGGCTGCTGCGGCCACTGCCACTGCTGGTGGAGGGGGCCTTGACTATGATGGTGGGGATAGGGATGGAGCTCTTCTCTTTGGCCACTGAGCTTTTACCCCCCTGGCCTTGCCCCCCTCTGTGGTGCCTGCTGAGCCCGCCTTCCACTGTGGGCTGCTTCACTAGAGGGCCCCTCCCGCCCTTCCTGACTCCTCCGCCCCTGCCTGCCCCTCCGCCCCTCTCCCGGGTCGCCACTTGCTGTTGCTGCGGCTGCTGTTGCTGCTGGGGTTGCTGCTGAGTTTTGGGAGCTGCGCTTGTAGGTGGAGTAGCACTACTGTAGCCCCTCCTCAATGCCCCCATTTTGCCCCCTCCTCTCCTCGTCCCCTCCGTGAGATCCCCTGTGTATTGTCCTCCTCCTCTCTGGAGGGTGGTGGTCATGCCGTGCTGTTGATTGTCCCAGCCTGCCTGTTGCTGGGTGGAGAAGGCCTGGTAGTGGGCCTGGGAGGACAGGGGCTGGGGGGCAGACTGCTCCCCCCTCCGAGCAGTGTGGGGGCCAGCAGATAAGGGGGGTTCTGGGGGGGATGTGCTGGGGGGAGGGGGGATGTCCTCCGACAGACTACGGGACAGTTTCATAGCCGGGGTGTGGAGGGACTGCCTCTCCTCCTCCGTCACACCTGAAACAGGGACAAACAGTTACACTATCTGGTTGGAAAGCAAAGTTAATTTACAACAGTCAGAATGTGGCTTTTTGACAGTAACTACCATAGTAATTGTATCGGTAGGACTTACCAATAGATTTCTGTCGCAGCATTACTCCATGCGGCTGGCCGGGGGGATACTGACCCTGGTTGTAGCCAGACCCAGGCTGCATCACACCGACCAACTGGTCATGACTTGGCTTAATGTGTTGCAAGACACACAGGGAGAGATGCGGAGAACGGGAAAAAGTGACGCGAATTAAACTTGCATTGGCAGTAAAAGTGATATAGTGCAATATGGAGAAAGCAATAAGTTCACATCCTAGGCTGTGAGGTCGATTTCACATCCAGCATTGCAGACACAGTCATTGAATTGAGGGTATGATCCCTAGGGTCAGTAGGTGCTGCAGGTACAGTCATGGTAGAGTAATTTAATGTTTTATTAATTTAACCTTTATTTAACCAGGAAAGGCCCATTGAGACCCAGAGTCTCTTTTTCAAGGGAGACCTGGCCAAGAAGGCAGCAACAATCAATACATTACAGAATTAAAACATACAACAATACAATACAATTCAACAACATGATCCAGCCTAAAATAAGCATTTACACTCCTCTGTAACAGTCTCCCATCCAAAATGTTACTCATTCAGTGTCACTAACGATGCTGAGAATGATGCAGTACCTCATTGGGGGCGATGCTCTTGGTTCGTTCTCTCTTCCCCCCGTGACCCCGCTGCCCCTGTCCGTCTGATGTGATCGTGTGCTGCGCTGCTGCCAGGATCTCATCCAGTTTATCTGACAGACAGAGAGAGAGTGTGCGCGTATGTGTGAGAGAGAGAGAAATGGGGGAGAGAGAGAGAGAGAGAGAGAGATAGAGAGAGTGTGCGGGTATGTGCGTGTGTGTGAGAGAGAGAGAGAAAGAGCGAGAGAGAGATAGATAGATCAAAAGCTTAAGACAATTAAAAGCAGAGGCACATTACTGTTACCCTGTTCAAAGATGGCCTCTTGAAACACAAAGAGGGACGGGGGTCAGATCTTACTTAGTGCCATTTGATAGACTGTCCTCTTCTTATCAGGCACCTGGGAGGACTCGTACTCTGAAAAGCAGAGGCCGTATCGTCATAGGACCTGAGCAGACGGATTTTGAATGGAGGCTTAAGGGCTGATGAAGGTAATGATAAGCGAGATATTCACCTGCTTTCTTTTTCCATGTAGAAGCAGCTGCAGCATATAAGAGAAAATAAGGTAATCATACTATGCTATAAGAGTATACTGAGACTGCTATTATAGCCATCTCTGTAATATCACGAAATAACATGAATGAATACAGTACATACTTTAACACTGGTGATGACAATGATAATACACAACTCAACCTTTTCCCACCTTTCTCCACTGTTAGTCAGCCGTTCCATTTAGCAGAAAAAGAAGAAATGGAGCAGAGGTTATATGCCATCGCATAATGTAGTGTTTCCAGAATGTGAACCACTTCACTGTATCTCCATCTTTCCCATATAGAGCACATTTCCATACATTCACTTGAAAGAGGACATTTATCTCCATAGTCCTCCTCATTAAGCCGTTGGTAATTAGAAAAACACTCCTTACCTATACCAGTTAAATCCCCAAGGCTCTCTGCATCAACTCACTTAATATTTAATGGACTTTTTCAATAATCTTTTTCTATGGGTCAGAATGTGAACACTCCTTTTCTTTTCCTTTTCTCCCTGCTTTTTATGCTTCCCTCCTTCTTCCATTGTCTTACCCATGTCTTCCAGCTCTAATGTCATTGATTTGGAGCGCAGGGCAATGGCAGGAGGAGTCAGCCTCTTAGCCTGCTGGGGGACTGCCAAGGGAGAAGGACCAAATGCACTTACTGCTTACAACTGTGTTATAAACATACACTCAGTGTCTGTTACGGTATTGCAAACAAACATTACTGTTTACTACTATGCTGTAAACATGAATTGTATAAATTACACAGAACAAACTAAAAAGTATACCTTTCTTCCTGGGGTTGGTCTCCTCCATCTCCGGGTTGCGGGCCACCATGACAACCTTGACCATAAGAGTGTTGCCACCTTGTCTGATCATGTTGACCACCTGCCTGTGGCCCACCTTCACTACATTGTGACTATTGGCCTACACACACACACCCCCACACACACACCCACACACACACACACGCACACACACACACACCCCCCCCCACACACACACACACACACACACACACAGAGAGCGAGAGATAACACTGGCTGTCAACAAGACTAAACTGTCATACTGCACTGTTTGAGTTCAAACTCAAAACAAATCAACAAATCTACAATTTGATAGTGATTACAAAAGTTGATTCCATTTTGATTCCCAGGCCTGCATAAACTCTCAGAATGACAAGCCTTTCCAAGGATCCATACCTCAATAAGGAAGTCCCCCATCCTTAGGCCAGCCCTCCAGGCCACACCCCCCTCATCCACAGACTCCATGTACTGCAGCGCGGGGAATGCTGGGGTCGGAGTGAACTCCTCTATGGGAGTCTGGGCTGCAGAGAACAAGTCAAGAACAAGAGGATGAGGGAGATGTAATAAAAGAGTGTTCAAGTGGAGGCAGAGAGATAGGATGGAAGAAATTACTAAGAGGAAATGCAAGGAGTGAAAGTTAAATATATCGAAGAGTAGAGGACTGTGGAAGCTGGAGATAGTAGACATTCAGGGGTATTTCGGACGGAGAGGCACTCACTCACCTTTGGCTCCCCGAAGCACAAAGCCAAAGCCCTCATTGTCTTTCTTCTGCAGGAGCACTGTCTTCTCCTTAATGATGTAGTCACTTAGAGAGAATAAGGAGAGAAGAGAGAAGGGAGAGAGAGAGGGGGAGAGGCGGAGAGCAAGAGAGAGCAAGCTATATGACTTCTTTAGCAACAGAAAGCCTCATTGTCATGCAAATAAAGCATTTCTGAATCTGGGAGACCGCTATACTGCATCACATTATGAAATCACACTGCACCAAAAGATGGGGGGGCTTGAGGCATGTCATACAACGAGCACCACCATACAAAGAGACTCGACAAACCAGGGTAGAGTCAGTGTCATGATGGGCGAGGAGGAGTGTACTGGAAAGACCTCTCCATAATCCAGCATAATGCTGACTAGCACCAGGAAGCACGTGGGAATGTACATAAAAAATGCTGCATAGACACTTCACTGTTAATGGGAACTTATAAATGCACCTGTAATGCTGCATTAGCTTTCTTCAAGCTTTCACTGCACTAGCTATCTTGGCTACCTCTCATCCTACTTCTCCATTTGTCATACATAACGCTTCAAAATGATCTACAGGTAGGGATCTATGTTTGAGTAGCAGTTAGTCATCTCTCTTCATAATGACGTTCGCTGTTTTTTCATTGATGGTTGACATGGCCATCTTGTTATGATATGGTAGGACTAGTTTTATGGCTCAGTGTTACGAGTTGGTCATTGCGCCATTACCATGTCTGGGACTTCTGTTGCTTGTCAGATTTATGGCTGGCTTACAGCAGTTTTCCCTTATGTAGAGCTCAGTGTATACAGGAGCCTCACTCCACAGTAGCCATATACTGTTTTACAACAACAGTGTCTCCAATTCACGCTGTAAAGCCTGCCGGGTCTCAATTCACACGGTTTTACGAGCTCAGTGCATACTGTATCCTCAGATTTAACAGCCATATACAACAACAGGGTTTCCATCTCCGTTCATTTGAAGGTCTCAATTTTACACAGCTGGCCGGTCTCAATTCATGCTGTTTTGCAGTTCCATTAGGATGTCTGGCTCTTCGGTCACTGTATGACTTGTGATTGAATCCATTGGGTTGAAATCCCAGTATTTTATTCCGGAGCTACGTTTTTCTGCATTAGCTGCTCGAATAAACTCAAACTGACGCGGCCTCCAATCGACTGTGCAAATCCACTGAGGATGATAGTCTTTGCTTTTCTGGGAGTTGCTGAACTTGGTGTGAGCAGGCCGTACATGGCATCCATTACAAAGCTGAAGAAACCACAGTTAACTTCTCATACCGAGGTCTACAGTTTGTACCTTCCATCCTTCCCTCGTGCGTCGCCACACTGTCAATGTTACGGTTTCGCCAACGCAAAAAGCCGCCTTCCATCCATCTGCTGTTCACACTTCATTCCTTTTCTCTCACTCCGTCTCCTTCTTGCGTTCCCTCTCAAAGGATCAAATCTACATGTAGCAGTGTGTTCAAACGGCTGCTTTGTATCATTTTATCCCCAAGACAATAGAGGTGTAGGTATGATACTGTGGTTCTTTGAAATAGTCTGTACCATTTAACCCCCTCATTCCTGTACTCTCAGTCCATGCTGTTCAGGAAAGGACCTTAAATGTGCATATTGACTGCTTTTACGTTACATGAATTCCCCATTGGCCAATGTGACACACAGTGGTCACAGAACACACTCACATATTACAGTGGCCTACAGTATTACAGTAGCCTACAGTATTACAGTGGCCTACAGTATTACAGTGGCCTACAGTATTACAGTGGCCTACAGTATTACAGTGGCCTACAGTATTACAGTGGCCTACAGTATTACAGTAGCCTACAGTATTACAGTAGCCTACAGTATTACAGTAGCCTACAGTATTACAGTAGCCTACAGTATTACAGTGGCCTACAGTATTACAGTGGCCTACAGTATTACAGTGGCCTACAGTATTACAGTAGCCTACAGTATTACAGTGGCTTACAGTATTACAGTGGCCTACAGTATTACAGTGGCCTACAGTATTACAGTGGCCTACAGTATTACAGTGGCCTACAGTATTACAGTGGCCTACAGTATTACAGTGGCCTACAGTATTACAGTGGCCTACAGTATTACAGTAGCCTACAGTATTACAGTGGCCTACAGTATTACAGTAGCCTACAGTATTCCAGTAGCCTACAGTATTCCAGTAGCCTACAGTATTACAGTGGCCTACAGTATTACAGTAGCCTACAGTATTACAGTGGCCTACAGTATTACAGTGGCCTACAGTATTACAGTGGCCTACAGTATTACAGTGGCCTACAGTATTACAGTGGCCTACAGTATTCCAGTAGCCTACAGTATTACAGTGGCCTACAGTATTACAGTAGCCTACAGTATTACAGTGGCCTACAGTATTACAGTGGCCTACAGTATTACAGTAGCCTACAGTGTAATCATGTACCCTCCCTCCTGATTCCTGAATCATCCTCTGTAGCTTCCACAATTCTACAGAAGAAGCAGCATGCTAGTCATACATACTTACATCCTCATCTTAGACATTTACATACAATTAAACCATGAGACACAATGACACATCCATGCAGTCACAATTCAGGGACACAGACACAGATGAACAATTCCCACAACGACACTCAACCACAGTGACACACACTGTGACTGTGCGATCACACCCACTTACACACTCACATGAAGGAAATCACAAACAAACCACTTAGTATGTCCACTCTCGCCCTTTCTATAAAATAATGATCATCCTATATGTTAGTGGTACAAACACAGATGGAACACACAATTTATGAGATATGGCAATATATAGCTGACATTGCAACATGCTCTCAGATTACACTCAGAAATACATGAGAGGGGAGAAACAGAGATAAACATGATGCAGTCAGAGCCTCCATTCAATAGCCACTTCCGTCACACACAAACGTTAAATATGATTTAACACACACACACGCACATATATATATATATACACACACACACATACACACACACAAACACAAATACACACACACACGCACACACAATACATATCTTATTAATCCGCCTTTCAAATCCACGGCCTCTCTGTTGCATCTACCTCTCCCCTCTCTCCATTGTCCTCTCCTCACATCCATAGCCAGGCAATGAATGAGGAAACAGCCGCTACCTGTAAATGAACCACACGCTCCTGTTTCTGGGGCCCAGTGACGGCCACGAAGAAGAGAGGGAGAGAGAGAGAGACAGATCTCTCTCTCCGCATCCCCCCATTGCCATTTCCCCCCCCCTCCTCTCCTCCACCCCCTCCTCTCCCTCCGCCTCTCGCTCTACCAGCGAGAGCACAGCCAGAGAGAGCCGCGAGAGTGGAAGAGAGGAGGACAGAGAGATGAGAAGAGAGAGAGGAGAGAGAGGAGAGAGAGCGAGCGCTGGCCTAGCACGTCTACACCCTGCATGCTTAAGACAGCACGAGAGAGAGAGAGAGAGAGAGAGAGAGAAGGAGAGAGGGAGGGAGAGTGAAAGAAAGGGAAAGCGACAGAGATGGTTCTCTGCGACAGGGAGAGAGAACGCAAGAGAGCGGAGGGAGAGAATGCTGGATGTGAAAAAGGAAGGGGGAGGGAAAGAGAGGTTTAGCATAAAAGAGGGAGAGAGAAAAGAGGTGCTTTTGCAGGTGGGGGAAGGGGGGGATGGGGTAACAGGCAGCAGGGATTGTGTGTTTATTTCAACATCCACTGACTGGTTTCTGGCAGATTCACAAACAGCTGATTTCCACTCCAGAGAGATCCTCATCTGCAAATACAGACACACACACACACACACACACACACACACACAACAGCACTCACAACATTCACATTCAAACAAAACCCACTCGAAATTCTCATTGACATTCTCCCAAACACACAAATGCAATGGGTAGCAGCAGCCATACATCTGGAGCTGGATCCGGTTCAAAATGCTACTGTATTACAATCGGCAACATAACCACCACTGTACTACACACATTCCTACATACAATCTCTCTTCACACAGATGTCATTCACCGTCTGAGTCACTGGCCATTATTCACATTGCCAAATACCAGTGAACCTGTATTAAGCTCAGTGACTTGTGACTGATAATAAGAGCTTCGTAGCACACGGCTAATGTCAGCTACACGCTGTAAGCCCAAAACCTTGGGTGCGTGGAGTCCCTCCTCACACTTGCCGATTGACCGAACGAACGCTCATCACCTCCAAATCCCCAAGACTCATCATCAGGATGTTGTGCCGCACGCTCACACACGTGTAGAGACACACACACACACACACACACACACACACACACACACACACACACACACACACACAGCACTGTTAGCCCTCATGATGCACAGCACAACTGCAGCTGCCTGGGGCTGGACTGCAGCTTGACGCTAAAAGATTAGACAGATGCAATGGGGGAGAAGGAATCCATCGTCAACATTTATGGCATTATTTTTAACAGGGAAAATAAGCATGACTGAAAGGGGGAATGTGATTGGTCATGTAAGCAGGGACAACACACGTTTGGCTCCTTTTGGCAAGATGAACAAGCAAAAGTCAAGCAACTTTGTCGGCTAGATGTACAAGAAATAGAATTGAACTGACGTGTTTAGTTCAGTGCCTTTAGCGCTAGCATGGTCTTAATACAGCTGAGCAATAGCATAAACAAGCAATCACTTCAGCTTCACCCTAGGCTCAGCACACTCACCCTCCTCCAATTGTCAACACAGAAACATACCCATCAGAAACACAAACAAATTAGCCGATTCCAGCTGTCCACCTACACAATTGACAAGACACAGCTAAAACATTAGCATGGTTTTACAAAGTCAATCATGTCTAATCCTACTGTATGTTTTCTACTGAGAATGATAAGGGCTGCAGAGCACGATTAGTGCTGGGTATTCAATCTTAGCATAGTTAGCTAGTGATTTCCCTTACGCCTTGTCTTCCCTTCCTTCATATTACTTCACTATTCCTCCACCCTTAGAACTTGGTGACCATGTGTCCCGGGGGTAAAAATGACTTTGCATGAGGTCATTCATCGATACATCTAGTTCCTGAGGGCCAGCAGACAACAAGCTTCTATCAAGTCCAGTCTTACCTGGGGCCATCCACGCCATCATATGCTCCCACGGTAACATTACGAAACAGCTTCCTCTTGGCTTTCTCACTGCGCGTCTCTGGAACACAAACAGTTCATGTGTTACCTTTATATTAATGTGTGTTTTGTGTGTCTTTGTGTTCCACTATTTGTGTATTCCATGTGTCTTTGTATACTTTGTATTCCAGTGCATCATCTCTGAAACACACCATGATCAAGTTGGTTGTTGTGGTGGTGTGCTATTAATGTTACTGGGTGGGTGTGATACATGCCCTATTGCATGTAACATTGTGAGGATGTCCTGCAAGTCAATAGAATGCTGGCAACTGAATGAAGATTAAATGAGTCATTCAGTAAATGCGGGGTTAGCATCTGTAGAGGGATTTTGGTTGGTGTTTGTCTGAGCGGATGTAATGCGAGTGAGGGTAGTGTCTTTGTCTGAGCACATATTGTATTTGGTTTCTATAAGGTTGGTGGTGTTGCTCACCTGATCGATTCTCCTTACTGGGAGGACCCACCTCCTCCACACAATCTGAGGGAAACCAGCCTGTACGACCTTTCACTGTGCCCTCCCAGAACCCCCCCTCTCCAACACTCAACACTGAGAGAAGGAAGGAGAGAGAGAGAGAGAGAGAGAGAGCGAGAGAGAGAGAGAGAGAGAGAGAGAACAAAGAGAAGAGGGGTGCATCACAACTTTACAATCAACACAGTGGCACTCCAAAAACCCACTCCTCTCTGAATCTCTCTTACCTTTGACTTTGTCTCCTTTGCTGATGGTGAGCTCTTTGTCTCTGTGGGCAGTGTAAGCCCTCGTGGCCAAGTACACTCGCCCTGGGACCGCACTGTACATATGCCTCATCTGACCCCCAGCTGACCACCCGCCACTACCCGCTGAGGTCGCACTGCAAGAGGAAAGACAGAGGAAGAGTTTGTGTATCATGTAACAACACCTGGGGATACCAGTAGTGGAGATAGAGGGACAATAAATGGCTCATGACAGTGGTTTACACTATGAGAATAAAGTATTTGGAAGCTTTAAAGCTGGTAACAGCCCCATTGGCTGTAGACAACCGAAATGCATGTAAAAACACAACTTTTTGTATATGCACGTTATTTATAAATAGATTTACATATCTACGCTCTCTCCCTCCACTATGTCCTCACCCCTGTCTGCCGCGCTGTGGTTTGCTTTGATGCCTCTCCTCTGTGTCGCTCTGTCCTCCTCCTCTTCCTCGCGACGGGGATCGGGTACGGGCCCTGGGACTGCTGGAGCTCCTCACACCCACAGAGGCCCTGCGACCCTAGACAGAGAGGGAACAAACACAAACACAGGCTGAGTTATATAATTGTGTTGACACTTACACAGACCCAAACTCACAATTTATTGGTTAAGATCCCAGAGTAACTAAGAGCATAGCTCCCCAATAAACCATACAGTCGCGATCTCCCGCTGCATCTCCATACTGTGCCTCTCAGTACCTGTCCAGGGACGGGATTGGCTCCAGCAGCCTTGTTGGGCAGGGCCATGGTGTCAGACAGGGTCATGCTGTTATCACTGTTAGCACGCAGGAGGGGGTAGGGTTGAGCCATGAGGAGAGGGAGCGTGCGTGCACTCTCTCCTCTTTTGGGAGCATACTTTGGGGATTCCAGAAAGGGCACTGAGAAAAGAGAGTCACAGGTAGGTGGAAAAACAGTGAGGTAAGAGGGGAGAGAAAGAGTGAGGGAATATTGTGAGAGTGTGAACAATTAACAACCCGACTCAAGTGATTCGGATGCAAAGACAATCGACAAGCAACAAGGATGGACTTGAACACCACACACAACCCTCAAACTGGGCAAGCAATAATCTAAAGCATCAGATGAGGTTAAGAGGCCACCTCTGAACCAATAGTGTTTTCAGAAACAAAACAGTTTGTAAAATGTTGTTAGATTCTAAATAAACAGAGTAAAAACTCACGGACGACTAGTAAAGCTCAAACCAAGTTTATTCACCCACTGGGTCACACAGCTGCATAAGACAAAGACATGTTCCCACCAGCACAAGTATTTATACCCCCCTTTAGGTGGAGTCTCCTCCTTTTCTCTAAACATTACATCTTTGTTGCTAGGCAGGAAGTTAAGTGATGTGGGTAATAAACTGTTCCTTCATGTGACCTGACCTGACCTCGGCCCCTATTCCTCACTAATCCACAGCTATCCACCCTTATTAGCGACTGCAACCATGTGATTGCCTTTTCCCTTACTTAGTAACTCTCCAAGCCTATTGCTCATATCCACCCTTAATTGACCCCACCATATACATTCCTCCTATATATAAACATTCACTTCTGGTGTTGCAAGTATTTCAAATTACAACACAACAACTGAAACCAGACTGTGGCCCTTCTCCTCTCCATAGGATCCCTGATGTCAAACAATAACATGTTCTGACAGAATGTAAACGTTCTGCCTTCCCCTCTCTCCCTCAGTAACATGAATAAGGATATTTCATATTTCAAGTTAAGAACCCATCAATGTCTAGGGATTAGCCTCTGTATGCTGATCCAGTGCACCACATCAAATACCATCTACCAGTGTGATAAAACAACTTAATAAGATGGAAAAACACAACAGATCTTCTGAGTCACAGGTTGATTGATGAAGCAGAACATTTATACCAAACAATGCACTGCAAAGTAATTTATAGCAGATAGCACAACAGAAATACAGTACAGACACTAAGGAATAATATTTCCCCGTTATTTTACAAAATGTTCCATCCCGAGAATAAATCACTTTTCTCCAGGGTAACCCGGTATTTCAAGCCAAGACCGGAAGTGTAATTCAAAAGCATTATAAAGCATATAAATAGGCTTATGTCTGGATTTGATTCGAGCTTTGATAGAGAATTCAAGTCTGATGCAACCTGTGCCTGATCAGCCATATATTAAATACATTTTATGAGGCCTACAGTAAAAAGTAATTTTATAGTCCCAAACCCAAAAAAGCCCAAATGATTGTGCCGTTAGCCAATACATATATGATATATAGGCTACTGCACATTATGCACGACAGAAAAACATAAAAGCCCATAGATGTAGCTAGCTATATGCTCTCTAGGGTAAATAAATGAAACTAGCTCCAGTAGGCTAATCTTTTTGAGTGTGGACTGTATTACTGTACTGTATTGTATTATACTGGATTATATGACTGGATTGATGCACATTGTTCAAAACCATGATAAAGCTGAGAGAAGCGATTCTGGTGCAGCACATGCAGCCTACAACGTTACAAGTATAGGCTAGCAAATTGTATTTTCATTTAGAAATATAATAGGGCCTATATTTGTATAATTAGTAGGCTGACGCATATATACCTTTCATAATATTTCCCCTAATGTTATTAGCCTGCCTACCTCTTTCTCTCTCTATTGTTGCTTTATTCCTTAATTCCTTCCTCAGTTAAATGAAATGTAGTTTCGCTGTCCTTATCATCATCATTGTAATGACATGCTTGAATAATATAGGACTAGAATTAGATGCAGATGGCTTTCATTTCTCTTCACGAAGATTGAATGGTTATGGGTTTGAATAAATAATTGCTATAGCCTACCGCCATCGCGCGTTCGCTCTTCTTTCAAACTACCCAGGAGTTCTATTGGTTGCTGTATTTAACATTCAGCAAACAAGAGCTTGCGTCCCTCTTCAAATAGTCTATTGGTATAAGAAATGCCCCCCAAAAATTGTCCAGCAAGCTATTCTAGTCTAGCTTTTCCTGCATGGGACTCCAAGAGCTAAGGAGCGTGTTTTAAGGAGAGAGGCCAACGGAACACAGGTGCGTGCATATTGCGCAAGAGACAGAGGCTATAAGTTAGAAGCTTATTATGCATAACCCAACATTCATTAGATAAATATAAGGCTAATACTGCATTGAATGTATTACCTGAAAGAGGTAGGCTAGGCTAGGATATATATATATATATATATATATGTATATATATATATATATTCACACTACCGTTCAAACGTTTGGGGTCACTTAGAAATGTCCTTGTTTTCCATGAAAACATACAGGAAATGAGTTTGAATAGGAAATATAGCAAAATGAATAGGAAATGTAGTCATTGACAAGGTTAGAAATAATGATTTTTAATTGAATTAATAATTGTGTCTTTCAAATTTTGCTTTCGTCAAAGAATCCTCCATTTGCAGCAATTACAGTTGCAGACATTTGGCATTCTAGTTTTCAATTTGTTGAGGTAATCTGAAGAGATTTCACCCCATGCTTCCTGAAGCACCTCCCACAAGTTGGATTGGCTTTATGGGCACTTCTTACGGTCAAGCTGCTCCCACAACAGCTCAATAGTGTTGAGATCCGGTGACTGTGCTGGCCACTCCATTATAGACAGAATACCAGCTGACTGCTTCTTCCCTAAATAGTAATTGCATAGTTTGGAGCTGTGCTTTGGGTCATTGTCCTGTTGTAGGAGGAAATTGGCTCCAATCAAGCGCCATCCTTTTACCCTGTACAAATCTCCCACTTTACCACCACCAAAGCACCCCCAGACCATCACATTGCCTCCACCATGCTTGACAGATGGCATCAAGCACTCCTCCAGCATCTTTTCATTTGGTCTGCGTCTCACAAATGTTCTTCTTTGTGATCCGAACACCTCAAACTTCGATTCGTCTGTCCATAACACTTTTTTCCAATCTTCCTCTGTCCAGTGTCTGTTTTCTTTTGCCCATCTTAATCTTTTCTTTTTATTGGCCAGTCTGAGATATGGCTTTTTCTTTGCAACTCTGCTTAGAAGGTCAGCATCCCGGAGTCGCCTCTTCACTGTTGATGTTGAGACTGGTGTTTTGCGGGTACTATTTAATGAAGCTGCCAGTTGAGGACCTGTGAGGCGTCTGTTTCTCAAACTAGACACTCAATGTATTTCTCCTCTTGCTCAGTTGTGCACCGGGGCCTCCCACTCCTCTTTCTATTCTGGTTAGAGACAGTTTGTGCTGTTCTGTGAAGGGAGTAGAACACAGCGTTATATGAGATCTTCAGTTTCTTGGCAATTTCTCGCATGGAATAGACTTCATTTCTCAGAACAAGAATAGACTGATGAGTTTCAGAAGAAAGTTATTTGTTTCTGGCCATTTTGATCCTGTAATCGAACCCACAATTGCTGATGCTCCAGATACTCACCTAGTCTCAAGAAAGCCAGTTTTATTGCTCCTTTAATCAGCACAACAGTTTTCAGCTGTGCTAACATAATTGCAAAATGGTTTTCTAATGATCAATTAGCCTTTTAAAATGATAAACTTGGATTAGCAAACACAACGGGCCATTGGAACACAGTGTCACGCCCTGGCTCTGGGGACACTGTTATGTTGAGCCAGGGTGTGTAGATTTCTGTGTTGTAGTTCTAGGTGTTTCATTTCTATGTTGGCCAGTGTGGTTCTCAATCAGAGGCAACGAGTGTCAGCTGTGGCTGGTTGTCTCTGATTGGGAACCACATTTAAACAGGCTGTTTTCCCACAGTAGTTGTGGGATCTTGTTTCTAGTTGGTTTGTGTTAGACCGTGAACTGTCACGTTATCGTTTTGGTCGTGTATCGCTAAATAAAGAGTATGTTTGCCTGCAGCGCTGCGCCTTGGTCCTCCTCTCTTACCGACGATCGTGACACACAGGACTGATGGTTGCTGATAATGGGCCTCTGTACACCTATGTAGATATTCCATAAAAAAATCTGCCGTTTCCAGCTACAATAGCCATTTACAACATTAACAATGTCTACACTGTATTTCTGATCAATCTGATGTTATTTTAATAGACAAAAGAATTGCTTTTCTTTCGAAAACAAGGACATTTCTAAGTGACCCCAAACTTTTGAACGGTAGTGTATATATATATATATATATATATATATATATATATATATATATATATATATATATATACACTGTATATATCAATCTTGAACAGGATTATCTATTTTGGATGCAATTTGAATGGAATTGATGGAGGGAGAGAGAAAGACTGCTTGCACATGCTCTAATTTCATGCAACAATATTCAAGTGATAGGTTGTTTTAAAACTCTGCAGCTGCAATTAAAAAATTAAACATATTTACAATAAAAAAACAAGGTGACCCCTGAAAGCCAGATGGAGATGTGTAAATTAGACGTGCATTCGGTCCTTATACTGTAGCATAGGCTATGCTGCAGCAAATGTAGGCCTACCTGTCACAAGGAAAAAAGTTACCATGATGAGATGATAGGTCTACATGCATTGTGATATGCACTCCATACTGAGATGGGCTGTCTGTCCCCAACATGAGCGTTGATGATTGATCATGCAGAGAGCAGAGAGAAGACCGCAGAGAAGCAAGATTTAGACATTGCATATAATTGTACAGTTCCATTTCACGTCATGTTGTTGATATAAATAATTTCTTATAATTGACCAGTTTCTCTCCGTTTTTTATCCCGGAAAAGGGAGTGGTTTTGGGCGGTAAATCTCGGTAACCGGGTTCCCGCCATTCAACCTTAACAGACACTCATGCACCAAAACTCACTATCAATCACTTCCTAATCTGAAAAGACCCAAGTGGAGGACCAAGACTTACCTATATCTGCATCTCTGTGGTTTTTGATGATTTCCCCAAGTTCAAAATGGCCCGACATTACTGCTACCTTCAAAACACAGACACATGTACGCACACACACAATTACATGCAACACTCCCCCTAACTGTAGCTCAGCTGGTAGAGCACGGCGCTTGTAACGCCAGTGTAGTGGGTTCGATCCCTGGGACCACCCATACACAAAAATGTATGCACGCATGACTGTAAGTCGCTTTGGATAAAAGCGTCTGCTAAATGGCATATTATTATTATTATTATTATTAACTGTAACACATGCATCATGTACAGAAAGAGTTCCTCCAAAACATCAAACACCCAATTTAATAAATGCTTTGCTAATAATACATTTAAAACAAGTCACTGATTTTCAACTCAATGGTTTATTGACGTGTAACAAACCTGATTACATTTGGCGTAGTCGGCAGAATGAAAAACTAAAGAAAACTGAAAACATGAAGTTGTTATTGATACCTGAAAGGGGCTTTGTCCATGCTTGTTCTTCATTTCCTTATTAGCCCCTCTGTAGAGCAGAACACGAACACAGCTTTCCTGATAGGCCAGAAAGACAGCCACTGTTTAACTTAATTCAGGACTAAAATGTCACACAGACATTTGGAACTCACAAACCAGTTACTTTGATTATTGTGATTATTGTGTTGTCCCTGTATTTAAAATGGTACTTACCTTATTATATAGGGCACAAATGTGAAGTGCGGTGTTCCCTGAGGCATTCTGAGAAGTGGTATCTGCCCCATAGAACAGAAGGTGCTCCAAGTGCTGGGCAAAACCATTCTGGCAGGCCTTGGGAGGAGGGTGTGTAAAGAAAGCATCTAAAGATTAAAATTATTAGCAAAGGAGAATCTGAGGGGTTTTAAATGGGTCATCACTACACAATCAATTGCAAAGATGCAATTACTGTGCTTATTCATAAATTATACCAAATAAAAAATGTGTAGCTAAAATTGTGACAAATTAAAAGATAAACAGAATGAAAGATACAGCTGATGAATGTCTGAACCATTGCCAAATAAAGAACAAATTAAGAAATTAAAATGATATAATAAGCGTTTGACCTTCCCCCTTCTGCTTAATGGTTTCCACTTTAATTTCTGCACTTAAAATAACACGACACAAAATTAGAGAAGTAACAAAACACAGGACACTACATAAGCTAACATGAACTACAGTAAAATAGCATGACACCACAGTGGTGAACAGCACAGCACTGAGATAGTGAGTGAATGACGCAGAGATAGAAGATGTCAGCACGAGATGGTATCTAATGTCTATCTGCATTGGACTCAACAGTTACATGAGATGAATGTACCAAATTGTGAAGGATCACCGTTTCAGGAAGAAATAACCAAACTCCTCTTTCTTTCTTTACCACTTTGAGACCATGGAAGGTCATGGAAGGTCATGATCCTAAGAGTTACTCTTCCCCCAATTTCACAACTTGAATGGAAGTATTCATGGATTACATGATCAGTACCTTGTGTATTTCTTGCATTCCAAATTCCTCTTCATCCCTGAGCTATCGAGAGAAAGGAAGAGAGGAAGAAAGGAAAACAATGGAAAGAGACCAGTGAGAAGGTGTATCTCAATTGAGGAGAAAGGAGAGTGCAAAAAGAGGGGTGAAATGTTTAAGACATGTACAGGACAGGAGACTGAAAGTACACTAAAAACCTAATGTACTATACCAACGTATGATAATACACAGAAGAAAAAAAACACAAAAATCAATACACATAAAAATATGATATTTGAGATATGTTTAAAGTCAAATTGGACAAAAACACTGACATATTTACAACACACAGGCCAAAACTATATCAACCCCATCCTTGAGACAGGCAGCCGGACAGACAACCAAACGGATACCTGGTGAGACTCCTCCCATCCGTTCTCATCCCTCACTCCCAGTCTGGCCCTGTAGTAGAGTAGGGTCTCGCAGCAGGAGGTGTCGCCACCTGTCAGCACTGAGTGGTACAGTGGGGTCAGGCTACATCGGTCTTTGTAGTCAGGAGATGCTCCCAGGGACAGGAGAGCCTGGCAAGGACGGGGAAAAGACACATTTATTAAATGCATGTTTATTTTGTGTGTGTGTGTGTGTGTGTGTGTGTGTGTGTGTGTGGAGTCCTAGTTACCAGCAGTGCAACGTGATTGTGTGCCCTGACAGCCTTGTGTACAGCTGTCAGTCCATCTCTGGTTCTAAAGTCCACATGGGCCCCACCCTGAACGAGCACCCTGATCCCTTCCACTGTCATGCCAGACTGCACCGCCACAGACAGGGGGGATTCTGAAGAAGATGGAGAGAGAGAGAGAGAGAGGAAGGAGGGGGGAAATGGAGGATCAAGGCGAGAGGGGGGAGCAGAGAAAGGGGATTGTCAATATCTGAAATGATCATTTGACATTTGACTGAAAACAGTGTCAAAATCATGCAGTGGCAACCCTATCAAGCTAGTGTTCAACTCACCTCCGTTGTCAGGGTCATGGTAGTTTGGGTCGAGACCTTTGTCCAGGACCTTTGACATCTTATCTATTGATCCACTTGCAATGTAGTCCATGAACTTTTTCAGACTCACCTGCAAGGTTAGAGGTTCACTGGCCAATATAAACATTTGTCTGCCATAAACCCAACTAACAATTCTAGAGAGAGAGAACGTTTTTGTAATGTTAACCGTAATGTTCCCCTAATGTTTGAGTGTCCAGTTTTCCATTAGTTATGGGAACATTCTATCTACAGTGAGCTCCAAAAGTATTGGGACAGTGACAATTGTTGATTTTTGTTTTGGCTCTGTACTCCAACACTTTGGATTTGAAATGCTACAATGACTATGAGGTTAAAGCAGGGGTTGGAACCAAAATTATTTTCCAATAATTTAGTTCTGAACAGAACCACTATTTCGTTCCACTGTTCCGACCAATAAAAAAAAGTTCTGAACCGGTTCGAACTCCAAGAAAGTACCGGTTTATATCGCTAAATTACTTCACCAATCAGTGTGGATATAGCAGGCAAGCTAGTTGCTTACATGCATGATGGACAGACAAGTTTACCCTATGGTGCATGATGCGACTGAAATTTTGCAGGTGGGGAGAGAGGGTTGAGGAGGAGGCTTGAAGCACTGGGCATCTTGTTATGACATGCATTATCTGAATTAGGTCCACAGAATTATACCTAGGAGGAGCGGCTTCTATAGAGGAACTTTGCATGTCCTTTGAGCTAGCTAGCTAACAATCTTGAGCCAGCTAGCTAAGAAGCTTGTGTGCTCTGCAGATTTTGCTGCGAAGAGATAGAATCATTAGATCATTTGTTTTGGTACTGTCCATTTGTAGCTTGTTTTTGGACACTGGTCCAGGAATGGCTAAAGGATTGCAATATTTACCTGGAGCTAACCTTGCAGATAGCATTACTGGGTGATCTGAAAAGTCCTAGTCAATCGATCAATAATATAATAATACTTTTAGAAAAAAAAAATATTTTCAATTTACAATCTGTAGAAACAATGAGAATAGAAAGGTTCAGAACTTTTGTAAAACATCACAGTACAGTTGAAAAATATATGGCAAATAGAAATCCTATATGGATGGAGTTAAGAGATAGATGGGAGGTGTTGAATGGAGCTGAAGGATGGGACTACTAACAACAACTAATAACAAGATAACTAATCATGTAAGCATACTGTGTCCATAATAAGTACATAGGTTGTAGGTTGGGAACTTTTGTGAAAGAGCACAGTTATAAAGATATGGCATATAGAAGCAAACCGGATGGACATCATGAAAATGATCGGAGAGGTTGAGAGTAGAAAAAACAAACAAAATATAATTATTGTAAAATTGACTGTGTCCATAAAATGTATATAGTATGTATAAGCTGGAAGTAGAGGCCTAAGCATTGTTGTTCACTAGTTTACTCCAATTAGGGAAAGGGTGGTGGGGTTGGAAAGTAATAAAGTACTTTTTTTAAAGGATATGTATGTGTATGTATGTATGTATGTATGTATGTATGTATGTATGTAAGTGTATGTATGTATATATGTATGTATGTGTGTATATATGTGTATGTATATATGTATGTATATATGTATATACAGTATCTCACAAAAGTGAGTACACCCCTCACATTTTTGTAAATATTTGAGTATATCTTTTCATGTGACAACACTGAGGAAATGACACTTTGCTACAATGTAAAGTAGTGAGTGTACAGCTTGTATAACAGCTTAAATTAGCTGTCCCCTCAAAATAACACAACACACAGCCATTAATGTCTTTACCGCTGGCAACAAAAGTGAGTACACCCCTAAGTGAAAATGTCCAAATTGGGCCCAAAGTGTCAATATTTTGTGTGGCCACCATCATTTTCCAGCACTGCCTTAACCCTCTTGGGCATGGAGTTCACCAGAGCTTCACAGGTTGCACTGGAGTCCTCTTCCACTCCTCCATGACGACATCACGGAGCTGGTGGATGTTAGAGACCTTGCACTCCTCCACCTTCCGTTAGCGGATGCCCCACAGATGCTCAATAGGGTTTAGGTCTGGAGACATGCTTGGCCAGTCCATCACCTTTACCCTCAGCTTCTTTAGCAAGGCAGTGGTCGTCTTGGAGGTGTGTTTGGGGTCGTTATCATGTTGGAATACTGCCCTGCGGCCCAGTCTCCGAAGGGAGGGGATCATGCTCTGCTTCAGTATGTCACAGTACATGTTGGCATTCATGGTTCTCTCAATGAACTGTAGCTCCCCAGTGCCGGCAGCACTCATGCAGCCCCAGACCATGACACTCCCACCACCATGCTTGACTGTAGGCAAGACACACTTGTCTTTGTACTCCTCACCTGGTTGCCGCCACACACGCTTGACACCATCTGAACCAAATACGTTTATCTTGGTCTCATCAGACCACAGGACATGGTTCCAGTAATCCATGTCCTTAGTCTGCTTGTCTTCAGCAAACTGTTTGCGGGCTTTCTTGTGCATCATCTTTAGAAGAGGCTTCCTTCTGGGACGACAGCCATGCAGACCAATTTGATGCAGTGTGCGGCGTATGGTCTGAGCACTGAAAGGCTGACCCCCCACCCCATCAACCTCTGCAGCAATGCTGGCAGCACTCATACGTCTATTTCCCAAAGACAACCTCTGGATATGACGCTGAGCACGTGCACTCAACTTCTTTGGTCGACAATGGCGAGGCCTGTTCTGAGTGGAACCTGTCCTGTTAAACCAATGTATGGTCTTGGCCACCGTGCTGCAGCTCAGTTTCAGGGTCTTGGCAATCTTCTTATAGCCCATGCCATCTTTATGTAGAGCAACAATTCTTTTTTTCAGATCCTCAGAGTTCTTTGCCATGAGGTGCCATGTTGAACTTCCAGTGACCAGTATGAGGGAGTGTGAGAGCGGTGACACCAAATTTAACACACCTGCTCCCCATTCACACCTGAGACCTTGTAACACTAACGAGTCACATGACACCGGGGAGGGAAAATGGCTAATTGGGCCCAATTTTGACATTTTCACTTAGGGGTGTACTCACGTTTGTTGCCAGCGGTCTAGACATGAATGGCTGTGTGTTGAGTTATTTTGAGGGGACAGCAAATGTACACTGTTATACAAGCTGTACACTCACTACTTTACATTGTAGCAAAGTGTCATTTCCTCAGTGTTGTCACATGAAAAGATATACTCAAATATTTACTAAAATGTGAGGGGTGTACTCACTTTTGTGAGATACTGATATTTATATATATATATATATAAACATGGGGGATTGGAAGTGATGCAGACAATTACATTGATGGAAGTTACAATCTATCTGCAATATTAAGCTGATCTACCTAAAAAAAAAAAAGAACAAAATAAAAATGAAGCTTGTGTGTGCAGAGCGGCACCAGATTTAAAAACACGTCTTACCTTTTTGTAGTTAATAAATCCAACGTAAAAAGTGATAACTAGTATTGCAAAAGTGAATCCATTCTTCTCTAGGTAATTAAACATCTCTCTCCCTATCTTCTTTCATAGGAACGTTTCAAGAACATTTCTGTGTATCGGTTGTCAGGACGTCGGAGTTGCAGTTGTCAGGCGTGGTCTTATGGAGGGTTTCCAGACCTTGGCCGATCGACATGACCACGCGTTGAATACATTACTGGAGCAATTCCGCGGGTTGTCTGTTAGGCAGCCTCCCACGACGGTAACCTCCCAGCCCCTCAGTAACCCGGTAGTCAACAGCGCGTCTCTCCAGGCCACCCCGGCTTCCCGAGAACCCCGCTTACCTCCACCTGAACGCTTCGCTGGAGAGTCGGGAACCTGTCGGGCGTTTCTCGCTCAGTGTTCCCTCATCTTTGAGTTACAGCCCTCCTCCTTCCCCACGGACCGGTCGAAGGTAGCGTACCTCATCACGCTGATGTCCGGGAGGGCTCTCGCCTGGGCTACGGCAGTGTTCGTAGCCCAGGCGAGATGAAGTGAAGAAGGTTTTCGATTCTCCATTGTCCGGGAGAGAGGCTGCCCGGAAGTTACTCCAGCTTCGGCAAGACTCCCGCAGTGTGGCAGACTATGCGGTGGATTTCCGCACGTTGGCGGCTGAGAGTGCATGGAACCCGGAATCGCTGTTCGACACGTTCCTGCACGGGTTATTGGAGGAAGTTAAGGACGATCTAGCAGCCCGGGGCATACCAGAAGTCCCCGACATCTCCATCTCCGAGAGAATCTGAGGCTACCCGAGTTTCCCAGAGAGTTTCCAAAGTCTGCCGATTCGCCTCTTCCCGAGCCGATGCAACTAGGCAGAGCTAGGTTGTCTCCAGCCAAACTTTTACGCAGGCTTAACACTTAACAGTCGAAATCTCTCCGGTGAGAATTTTATGGACACTACCCTGGCGTCCAAGCTGGACATCCCCACTCAGCCCCTCTCCATTCCCATGAACGATAGAGCACTGGACGGGCGCTCTATAGGCAGGGTCACCCACAATATCACTCCCATCAACCTACGAGTGTCAGGGAATCACAGCGAAGCTATCCAATTCCTGCTTATTAAGTCCCCTCAGGTTCCTGTGGTATTGGGATTGTCTTGGCTCCAGCGACACAATCCCCTCATCAACTGGACTGCTGGTGCCATCATGGGCTGGAGCCCGTTCTGCCACACCCATTGCCTGAAGTCGGCACAGCCTGCCCCGGGACATCTTCCTGTGGGCTCGGGAATGTTGCCCTGGACCTCTCCGCCATTCCCGCAGAGTACTAGAACCTCCGGGAGATTTTTAGTAAGGCTCGGGCCACTTCGCTTCCTCTGCAACAACCCTATGACTGCGGGATTAACCTTCTCCCGGGCTCCCGGGATGACTGTATTCACTGTCGGGTCCAGAGACCAAGGCTAAGGAGACCTACATCGAGGACTCTCTGGCTGCAGGGTTTGTCCTGGCTTCTGCCTCCCCCTCCAGCGCAGGGTTCTTCTTTGTGGAGAAGAAGAACAAAACCCTGCGCACGAGCTTCAACTACTGAGGCCTCAATGACATCACGGTTAAGAACCGCTACCTGCTACCACTCATCGCCTCTGCCTTCGAGCCGCTCCAGGGGGCCACCGTTTTCTCCAAGTTGGACCTGCGGAATGCCTACTACCTGGTGCGGATACGGGAATGGGACGAGTGGAAGACTGACTTCAACACGGCCAGCAGTCACTACGAATATCTGGTCATGCCATTTGGTCTTACCAATGCTCCAGCTGTGTTCCAGGCCCTGATTTGTCTTAGTCTACCTCGACGACATCCTCATTTTCTCCCGCTCATCCCAAGAACACGTGCTCCACGTCCGACAGGTCCTCCAGCGCCTCCTGGAGAACCAGCGTTCTTGGTTACATCATCGCTGCGGGGAATGTACAGATGGATCCCGGAAAGGTGAGAACGTTGGTGGATTGGCCCCAACCTACATCCAGAGTGCAGCTGCAACGTTTCCTGGGATTTGCCCATTTTTATCGCCGCCTTATCCGGGGTTACAGCACCCTGGCTTCTCCCCTGTCTGCACTCACCTCTCCCAAGGTTCCATTCACGTGGTCCCCAGCTGCGGACCGGGCGTTCCCGGACCTCAAACACCGCATCACCACAGCTCCCATATTAGTTCATCCTGACCCATTCCGTCAGTTCGTGGTGGACGCTTCGGATGTTGGAGTAGGGGCTGTCCTGTCCCAGCATTCTGACATAGACCTCAAGCTGCATCCCTGTGCCTTCTTCTACCATCGTCTTAATGCCACGGAGAGGAATTATGATGTGGGGAAATGTGAGCTTCTCGCGGAGAAGATGGCGTTGGAGGAATGGAGGCACTGGTTGGAGTGGGCGGAACATCCTTTAATTGTGTGGACGGATCATAAGAACCTGGAATAACTCCGCACCGCCAAGCGTCTCAATTCCAGACAAGCTAGGTGGGCCCTGCTTTTCACCCGGTTTAACTTCTCCCTCTCCTACTGCCCGGGTTCCAAGAATATCAAGCCGGATGTGCTCTCACGCCGCTATAGCCCCGCGGCTACCCCATCAGACCCCGAGACCATCCTCCCCACCTTGTGTCTGGCGGCGGCTCTCAGCTGGAGAATTGAGAAGCAGGTCCATGAGGCGCAGCGTTCCCAGCCGAACCCCAGGGGGGGCCCAGATAACCAGATGTTTGTCCTGACGCTGTCCGCCCCTCGGTCCTGGAGTGGGCCCACTCCTCCAGGCTTAACTACCACCCGGGTTCCCGTCGGACCCTGGCCTTTGTGCGACAACGCTTTTGGTGGCCTACCATGGTCCCTGACGTCGCCGCGTTCGTCGCCGCCTGCACGATCTGTGTGCAGAATAAGACTCCTTTCCGGCAGGTCTCCTTCAACCCCTTCCTGTCCCTCACCGTCCCTGGTCACACATATCCCTGGACTTCGTCACTGGTCTCCCCCCGTCTGATGGCAACACCGTCATCCTTACTGTGGTGGACCAGTTTTCCAATGCCGCCCATTTCATTCCTCTCCCCAAACTATCTTCTGCCAAAGAGACGGCCCAACTCATTGTGCAGCATGTCTTACGGATCCATGGACTCCCGGTGGAGATGGTGTCTGACCGGGGTCCTCAGTTCTCGTCCCGGTTCTGGAAGGCGTTCTGCATGCTCATTGGGTCGTCGGTCAGCCTGTCCTCCGGGTTCCACCCCCAGTCTAATGGCCAGTCGGAGCGAGCCAATCAGGACGTGGAGATGACTCTTCACTGCCTTGTCTCCACCAACCCCACCACTTGGAGCCAGCAACTCGTGTGGGTTGAGTACGCCCGCAACACCCTTCCCTGCTCTGCCACTGGTCTCTCGCCCCTGGGATATCAGCCCCAGCTCTTCCTGGAGCAAGAGGAAGACGTCGGCATACCCTCGGCCCAGATGTTTGTCCACCGCTGTCGCCGTACCTGGAAGAGAGCCCGGGCGGCTCTTCTGAAGACCACGTCCAGGTATCGACGACAGGCGGACCGCCACCGGACCCCGGGTCCCCGGTATCGTCTCGGGCAGAGGGTATGGCTGTCCACTCGGGATCTGCCCCTCCGAGTCCTGCAAACTTTCCCCCCGTTTATCGGCCCTTTCCCCAACTCCAAGATCCTTAGCCCCTCTGCTGTTCATCTTCTGTTGCCCCGTACCCTTCATATACATCCCACTTTTCATGTGTCTAGGATTAAACCTATGTCTCACAGCCCTTTGTCTCCTGTTTGTGTCTCTCATTTGTCCCCATTATCCCCTGTGTATTTATACCAGTGTTTTCTGTTTGTCTGTTACCAGTTCGTCTTGTGTCGTCAAGCTTACCCGCGTTTTTCCCGTATTCCTGTTTTGCTCTAGTCCCTGTTTTCCAGTTGTTCCCTGTTTTGACCATTCTGCCTGCCCTGACCCATCCTGCCTGCCGTTTCTGTACCCTCTGAGCCTGCCTGCCGTTTCTGAGCCTTGATAGATAAATGCAATTCAAAACAGCAATAATGACATTAACATATACAGTACCAGTCAAAAGTTTGGACACACCTACTCATTCAAGGGTTTTTATTTATTTTTACTACTTTCTACATTGTAGAATAATAGTGAAGACATCAAAACTATGAAATAACACATAGTAACCAAAAAAGTGTTAAACAAATCAAAATATATTTTATATTTGAGATTCTTCAAATAGCCACCCTTTGCCTTGATGACAGCTTTACACACTCATGGCATTCTCTCAACCAGCTTCATGAGGTAGTCACCTATAATGCATTTCAATTAACAGGTGGGCCTTCTTAAAAGTTAATTTGTGGAATTTCTGTCCTTCTTAATGCGTTTGAGCCAATCAGTTGTGTTGTGACAAGGTAGGGGGTTATACAGAAGATAGCCCTATTTGGTAAAAGACCAAGTCCATATTATGGCAAGAACAGCTCAAATAAGCAAAGAGAAACGACAGTCCATCATTACTTAAAGACATGAAGGTCAGTAAATCTGGAACATTTTAAGAATGGAAGACCCAGAGTTACCTCTGCTGCAGAGGATAAGTTCATTAGAGTTACCAGCCTCAGAAATTGCAGCCCAAATAAATGCTTCACAGAGTTCAAGTAACAGACACATCTCAACATCAACTGTTCAGAGGAGACTGTGTGAATCAGGCCTTCATGGTCGAATTGCTGCAAAGAAACCACTACTAAAAGAAACCAATAAGAAGAAGTGACTTGCTTGGGCCAAGAAACAAAAGCAATGGACATTAGACCGGTGGAAATCTGTCCTTTGGTCTGGAGTCCAAATTTGCGATTTTTGGTTCCAACCGCTCTGTCTTTGTGAGACGCCGTGTGGGTGAATGGATGATCTCCACATGTGTATTTCCCACCGTAAAGCATGGAGGAGGAGGTGTTAGGGTGTGGGAGTGCTTTGCTGGTGACACTGTCTGAGTTATTTAGAATTCAAGGCACACTTAACCAGCATGGCTACCACAGCATTCTGCAGCGATACGCTATCATTTGTTTTTCAACAGGACAATGACCCAACACTCCTCCAGGCTGTGTAAGGGCTATTTTACCAAGAAGGAGAGTGATGGAGTGCTGCACCTGGCCTCCACAATCCCCCGAACTCAACCCAATTGAGATGGTTTGGGATGAGTCGGACCGCAGAGTGAAGGAAAAGCAGCAACAAGTTCTCAGCATATGTGGGAACTCCTTCAAGACTGTTGGAAAAGCATTCCAGGTGAAGCTGGTTGAGAGAATGCCAAGAGTGTGCAAAGCAGTCATCAAGGCAAAGGGTGGCTATTTGAAGAATCTCAAATATAAAATATATTTTGATTTGTTTAACACTTCTTTGGTTACTAAATGATTCCATATGTGTTATTTCATAGTTTTGATGTCTTCACTATTATTGTACAATGTAGAAAATAGTAAAAATAAAGAAAAATCCTTGAATGCGTAGGTGTGTCCAAACTTTTGACTGGTAGTATACATTGCGAAGAATGTGAGAGTAGGGTGAATCCCCTAGCAGGTCTCGAACCTAGGACACCAGCATCAATGACAAATGCCCTAAACACTGTCCCAATAAGGGATATCTCTAGACCATTTGCTTATTTTTTGTGTGTTTGGTGGGACGTTGATGGAATATTCTCCAAACCCACAGAAAACTGGACACATTAATGTTCTTGGAACGTGCCAATGAAACGTTTCTAGAACATTCATATCTTAAGTTCTGAGAACATGGTAACCACGTTCTGGTTCTAATTGACATTAAGGGAATGGTTCCTTGGAAACATTCCTTGCACATCACAGGAAGATTCCTATGAAAACGTAAGTTAATGACCTAATGAGAATCTTAAGGGATCATTCTCTAAAGTTGTGGGAACGTTTGTTGTTAGCTAGGAACATTCATTACCATAGCTGTACAAATATGTTTCACCTACAAAGGGACATGAGAATATTATAGCAAAATAGGAAGTACCTTGGTGTGCAATTTTGTAAGTAGTTTTTCATCCAGGTTTGTCTGCTTGTATACCCTGGTCTTGTACCTAAACTGTAAAACAGAAAGAATGTATGGTAAAACATTTATTTAAATATTTTAAACCATCTGAAGGATAAGAACCACATTTGTTTTCATACTCCTGGCTCCAACTTGGCCTAAACTAAACACTGTAGTGCCTCTGGAATCAACCCTAACCCTGATCTGTTACATATTTGGAACCCCACCCTGAACACTTGCAAAAGAGGCACCACCAGAGGGCATCATAATATCAGTGTATGGGTATCACAGTACTGTACATCGCTTTTATAGTATGTGAAGCTCCACAGTGAAAAATCTAAGTCACACCCATGCACTGCAAACCCACTAAAACCCAGATGTATGTTAAATACATCTATAAGAAATCTGTTTCGCTCCTACAAGGTGGTTGTGGTTATGGTGGAGGTAAAATCCATGCATACCAAGTATGTGAAAAAAAATTCAATGGAAATCTGACTTGTGGCAGCCCATTAGTCAAAGTGAGTTTTGAAATGATCTTCCTGAAAAGGCTAAATGGGATAAACATATTTTTACTGCATCACTATCTAACAACGTTTTCCCAGTGTCTCCCATCAAAATACCTCCAGGTAAGGCACCCCTTTCTCAAAGGACTGTGGGTAATCTCGGAGGCAGCGCTCCTCCTCCAGGAACATGGCGTCGCGTCCATCTCCGGCGGGCTGAAAGAGGCCATAGTTGAAGACGTCCCACAGTGGCTCGCCCAGCGAACAGATTACCTCCTGCTTGGCGCTCCACACTGTGAAGTCAGGGTCAAACTGCAGACACCTCTGACCGAGGGAGGAGACAAGAGACAAGACAGCACAGTGAACAGTTGATAAGAGGGAGATCATGAATGTATTGTTTTCAAGGTGGTGTGTGTGTGTGTGTGTGTGTGTGTGTGTGTGTGTGTGTGTGTGTGTGTGTGTGTGTGTGCATGCGTGTGTGTAGGATGGAAGCAAGAAGTGGGTCAAAGGTGAGTTCTACATTTTAAATGCCATTTGATTTGACTGAAAGGTGTATAATTAGCTTGACATACAATCTGTGATCCAAATCTAAAGCACAATGACAGTTAATTATGTAAAATGTGGTGACATTGAGGCTTTATTTACGGCTCATGATTGACAAGTTTTTGTATTAAAAGTAGATGTAGTACTTTATGAAAATTGGTTTCACCTTTCTATTGATGGCACTTTAAAGCTGACAATAATCATGCTTATGCTTCTTGAAATAAATTAATAATTTAACTGAGCTAGCATAGGCCTACTAACTACTGAACATCAAATGTGCTCATTAACTCTAAAGCTACTGATTCACTATCACCAGTCCGACTCATTTGAATATATTGAATGTGTACACTGAACATTTCATTCTGGGAAATAAGAGATCCCAGAAATGTTCCATATGCACAAAAAGCTTATTTATCTCAAATTTTGTGCACAAATTTGTTTACATCCCTGTTAGTGAGCATTTCTCCTTTACCAAGAAAATCCATCAACCTGACAGGTGTGGCATATCAAGAAGCTGATTAAACAGCATGATCATTACACAGGTGCATCTTTTGCTAGGGACAATAAAAGGCCACTCTAAAATGTGCAGTTTTGTCACACAACACAATGCCACAGACGTCTCAAGTTTTGAGGGAGCGTGCAATTGGCATGCTGACTGCAGGAATGTCCACCAGAGCTGTTGCCAGATAATTAAATGTAAATTTTTCTACCATAAGCACCTAAGTTCGGCGTCGTAACCGACTTCAGTGGGCTAATGCTCACCTTCAATGGTCACTGGCATGTTGGAGAAGTGTGCTCTTCACAGATGAATCCCGGTGATGGCAGACAGCGTGTATGAAGTCATGTGGGTGAGTGGTTTGCTGATGTCAACGTTGTGAAAAGAGTGCCCTATGGTGGCGGTGGGTTTATGGTATGGGCAGGCATAAGCTACGGACAACGAATCCAATTGCATTTTATTGATGGCCATTTGAATGCACAGAGATACCATGATGAGATCCTGAGGCCAATTGTCGTGCCATTCATCCGCCGCCATCACCTCATGGTTCACCTCTCATCTAAACCAATTGTACCTATGCCATAAGCCTAGACCTGCATTGCAATCAATTGGAAATATAGATTTTTTTTTTTTACTTCTTTGGAGGATAAAGCGCTTTTCCCCCACACATGTCTGTGTTTGATACACTAGAGGCTTTCTGGTCACAATGGACAATGTCTTTGATGTTTTTATATGCATCTGGTAGCACTAATGAGATTTTACGCTGATGTTTATGGAATCTATTTTTATATTATTTATTTCAAACGTTTATTTTCTTGGGACAACATTTTCTATCATTTTTTTCTTGGAACGACATGTGTGTAGAGTAGTAGGGGTTCAGTGAGATACAGTGGGGAAAAAAAGTATTTAGTCAGCCACCAATTGTGCAAGTTCTCCCACTTAAAAAGATGAGAGAGGCCTGTAATTTTCATCATAGGTACACGTCAACTATGACAGACAAATTGAGAGAAAAAAAATCCCGAAAATCACATTGTAGGATTTTTAATGAATTTATTTGCAAATTATGGTGGAAAATAAGTATTTGGTCACCTACAAACAAGCAAGATTTCTGGCTCTCACAGACCTGTAACTTCTTCTTTAAGAGGCTCCTCTGTCCTCCACTCGTTACCTGTATTAATGGCACCTGTTTGAACTTGTTATCAGTATAAAAGACACCTGTCCACAACCTCAAACAGTCACACTCCAAACTCCACTATGGCCAAGACCAAAGAGCTGTCAAAGGACACCAGAAACAAAATTGTAGACCTGCACCAGGCTGGGAAGACTGAATCTGCAATAGGTAAGCAGCTTGGTTTGAAGAAATCAACTGTGGCAGCAATTATTAGGAAATGGAAGACATACAAGACCACTGATAATCTCCCTCGATCTGGGGCTCCACGCAAGATCTCACCCCGTAGGGTACAAATGATCACAAGAACGGTGAGCAAAAATCCCAGAACCACACGGGGGGACTTAGTGAATGACCTGCAGAGAGCTGGGACCAAAGTAACAAAGCCTACCATCAGTAACACACTACGCCGCCAGGGACTCAAATCCTGCAGTGCCAGACGTGTCCCCCTGCTTAAGCCAGTACATGTCCAGGCCCGTCTGAAGTTTGCTAGAGTGCATTTGGATGATCCAGAAGAGGATTGAGAGAATGTCATATGGTCAGATGAAACCAAAATATAACTTTTTGGTAAAAACTCAACTCGTCGTGTTTGGAGGACAAAGAATGCTGAGTTGCATCCAAAGAACACCATACCTACTGTGAAGCATGGGGGTGGAAACATCATGCTTTGGGGCTGTTTTTCTGCAAAGACCAGGACGACTGATCCGTGTAAAGGAAAGAATGAATGGGGCCATGTATCGTGAGATTTTGAGTGAAAACCTCCTTCCATCAGCAAGGGCATTGAAGATGAAACGTGGCTGGGTCTTTCAGCATGACAATGATCCCAAACACACCGCCCGGGCAACGAAGGAGTGGCTTCGTAAGAAGCATTTCAAGGTCCTGGAGTGGCCTAGCCAGTCTCCAGATCTCAACCCCATAGAAAATCTTTGGAGGGAGTTGAAAGTCCGTGTTGCCCAGCGACAGCCCCAAAACATCACTGCTCTAGAGGAGATCTGCATGGAGGAATGGGCCAAAATACCAGCAACAGTGTGTGAAAACCTTGTGAAGACTTACAGAAAACGTTTGACCTGTCTCATTGCCAACAAAGGGTATATAACAAAGTATTGAGAAACTTTTGTTATTGACCAAATACTTGTTTTCCACCATATTTTGCAAATAAATTCATTAAAAATCCTACAATGTGATTTTCTGGATTTTTTTTTTTTTCTCTCATTTTGTCTGTCATAGTTGACGTGTACCTATGATGAAAATTACAGGCCTCTCTCATCTTTTTAAGTGGGAGAACTTGCACAATTGGTGGCTGACTAAATACTTTTTTTCCCCACTGTACATACAGAGCTATTATCCCATGCTTATGATCTGTAAATAAAATTGTACAGTTCAGCATAGTTCCTTGTCTCCCTCCTCTCCCCCTCTGCCTCTACATTTGATACTGTAGCCAACAGCATTGGCATGGCAACGAGTTCATTAGAGGAGCAAGGCACCCGTTGCCGTAGCAATGCCTTGGTGTTCTCTGGGAGGTAAACCATATGAGGGGGGTTGTGTGTGAATGTGTGTGTGCGTGTGTCTGTGTGTGTGTCTGTGTCCGTGTCCGTGTCTGTGTGTGTCTGTGTGTGTGTGTGTGTGTGTGTGTGTGTGTGTGTGTGTGTGTGTGTGTGTGTGTGTGTGTGTGTGTGTGTGTGTGTGTGTGTGTGTGTGTGTGTGTGTGTGACGCGTTTGTGTGTGTGTGTGCGAGACATGTGTATGCAAGACGTGTGTGTGTGTGTAATCCCTTGGAGAGAGTGGAGCTAATGTAATATACAGTGCCTTCAGAAAGTATTCACACCCCTTTACTTTTTCCACATTGTGTTGTGTTACAGCCTGAATTTAAAATTGATTAAATTTAGATTTTGTGTCACTGATCTACACACAGTACCCCATAATGTCAAAGTGGAATTTTGTTTGTAGAATAACGATAACAAATTAAAAGCTTGAGTCAATAAGTATTCAACCCCTTTGTTATGGCAAGCCTAAATAAGTGTGCTTAACAAATTGCATAATAAGTTGCATGGACTCATTCCGTGTTCAATAATAGTGGTTAACATGATCTGTGAATGACAAGCCCATCTCTGTACCCCATATATACAATTATCTGTAAGGTCCCTCAATCGAGTAGTGAATTTCAAGCACAGATTCAACCACACAGACCAGGGAGGTTTTTCAATCCCTCGCAAAGAAGGGCACCGTTTGGTATTTGTGTAAAATAAAATAAGCAGACGCTGAATATCCTTTTGAGCATGGTGAAGTTATTAATTACACTTTAGATGGTGTATCAATACACCCAGTCATTACAAAGATACAGGCGTCCTTCCTAACTCAGTTGCCAGAGAGGAAGGAAACTGCTCAGGGATTTCACCATGAGGCCAATGGTGATTTTAAAACAGTTACAGAGTTTAATGGTTGTGATATGAGAAAACTGAGGATGGATCAACAATATTGTAGTTATTCCACAATACTAACCTAAATGACAGAGTGAAAAGAAGGAAGCCTGTACTGAATAAAAGTATTCCAAAACATGCATCCTGTTTGCAAAAAGGCACTTAAGTAATACTGCAAAAAATGTGGCAAAGAAATTTACTTTTTGTCCAGAATACAAAGCGTCACGTTTGGGGCAAATCCAACACATCACGGAGTACCACTCTTCACAGTTTCAAGCATGGTGTTGGCTGCATCATGTTATTATTATAATTTTTTTTTTAATTATTTAGCAGACGCTCTTATCCAGAGCGACTTACAGTTAGTGAGTGCATACCATTTTTTTTTTTACATACTGCTCCTCCTTGGGAATCGGACCCACAACCCTGGCGTTACAAGCGCCATGCTCTACCAACTGAGCTACACGGGACTACATATAAATGTCGAATAAGTGAAGGGGTATGAATACTTTCTGAAGGCACTGTATACGAGTGTGCGACTTCCTCCCCATCATTCTGTTGTTTCCGACAGGGTTTTCTGGGATGCTCTCAGCATCTGTCCTCATTACATTGAATATAGCATTGTTCAGACATAAATAACTGAGAGATTAATCAATGTACAGATGTATTTTGTGTGACCTGATCTCAATCCCCCTCTATTTGCCTAGTCATGCCTCTTTTTGCCTCTCCCTTTCTAATATCCTGTGCGTCTCTCTCTCCCCCTCTCCTTCTCTCTCTCTCTTTCAGCCTATAGCATGCACTACACTCCCTCATTCTCTCCATCCTCCTCTAATTTCAAAACAATTATATTTCCTGTGTGAGGTACTGTAAGTGTTTGTTGGGGTGGGTAGTGGGCGGTCTAGGTATTCGTTGGTGAAGCTGCTTTAAGACCAAGACACCAAATGCCCTTTTGGTGTTTACGCCTTTCACACTGCTGCTCACTTCCCAGCCCTCCCCAAACTCATTAAAACCATATTAGATAATGAAAAATTACTGTTATATTGAGGGCAGATTAGCTGACATGTAGAACAGTTGGGAATGTTCTGGGAATTGGAGTACGGAGAAGATTCATAACGGGGGAAGGGTTAGCATAGGGCACCCATTTTCACCTGAAATGACGCTATACGGACTGATTGGTTGGCCAATTCTCACCCACAATCTCACCTACCTATGCAATACCAAGAAAGCATCTGAAATAGCAAATCATTGCTAACTTTAGTGAGACGAGAGAACACTGTAATTTTGACCATAATGAATGTCTTTAGGCTGTCAATTACTTTGGATTATTAAGTGAGTCAAGTCTCCATTGATTTCTGTTCTTTATGGATACATAACCTACAGTGCAAAATTGATTACATTTAGATTTTGTGTCACTGATCTACACACAATGCCCCACGCTGTCAAAGTGGAATTTTGTTAGTAGAAATTAATAAACAATTAAAAGCTGAAATGTCTTGAGTCAATAAGTATTCAACCCATTTGTTATGGCAAGCCTAAATAAGTTCAGGAGTAAAAATGTGCTTAACAAGTCACATAATGAGTTGCCTGGACTCACTCTGTGTGCAATAATAGTATTTAACATGATTTTTGAATGACTACCTCATCTCTGTAACCCACACATACAATTATCTGTAAGGTCCCTCAGTCGAGCAGTGAATTTTCAAACACAGATTCAACCACAAAGACCAGGGAGGTTTTCCAATGCCTTGCAAAGAAGGGCAACTATTGGTAGATCGGTAAAAATTAGAAAGGCAGACATAGAATATCCTTTTGAGCATGGTGAAGTTAATAATTACACTTTGGATGGTCTATCAATACACCCGGTCACTACAAAGATACAGGCGTCCTTCCTAACTCAGTTGCCGGAGAGGAAGGAAACTGCTCAGTGATTTCACCATGAGGCCAATGGTGATTTTAAAACAGTTACAGAGTTTAATGGTTGTGATATGAGAAAACTGAGGATGGATCAACAACATTGTAGTTACTCCACAATACTAACCTAAATGACAGAGTGAAAAGAAGGAAGCCTGTACAGAATAAAAAATATTCCAAAAAAGATGCATCCTGTTTGCAACAAGGCACTTAAATAATACTGCAAAAAATGTGGCAAAGAAATGAACTTTTTGTCCAGAATACAAAGTGTCATGTTTGGGGCAAATCCAACACAACACATCACTGAGTGCCACTCTTCATATTTTCAAGCATTACGGTGGCTGCATCATGTTATGGGTATGCTTGTCATCGGCAAGGACTAGGGAGTTTTTTAGGATAAAAAGAAACAGAATACAGCTATAAGCACAAGCAAAATCCTAGAGGAAAACTTGGTTCAGTCTGCTTTCCAACAGACAATAGGAGATTAACCTAAAACACAAGGCCAAATCTACACTGGAGTTGCTTACCAAGACGGCATTGAATGATCCTGAGTGGCCTAGTTACAGTTTTGACTTAAATCGGCTTGAAAATCTATCACAAGACTTGTCTGTCTAGCAATGATCAAGAGTCAACTTGACAGAGCTTGAAGAATGTTTTAAAGAATATTGGGCAAATATTGTAGAATCCAGGTGTGCACAGCTGTAATCGCCGCCAAAGGTGCTTCTACAAAGTATTGACTCAGGGGTGTGAATACTTACGCAAATTAGATTTGTATGTATTTCATTTTCACTACATTTGCAAACACGTTTTCAGTTTGTCATTATGGGGTATTGTGTGTAGATGGGTGAGAAAAAAACATATTTAATCCATTTTGAATTCAGGCTGTAACAAAATGTGGAATAAGTCAAGGGGTATGAATACCTTATGAAGGCACTGTATGTGACAGAGATGGTTGTTCTGAATGGAATATGGTTCCCCTCAGGGTTTATCTCTGGCCTGGGCTTGGCTGTTACACTGTATTATGTAATGATAGTAATGTAAGAAGTATATAATAACAGCTTGACATACTTGTACTTAGCAGTACCATGAAACATGCACCTACTGTCTGTTTGATGTCAGGGATTCCAATGCGGAACACCATCATGGTCAGTCGAGTGTCCTCTATGGGTGCCACTGTGGTCATACTGCGCTCCATGTGAGCACGTCTTTTCTGGGTCTGAGTTGACGGGGCCGGGGCCGGGGCCGGGTGATACTGCTGCTGGTGCTGCTGCTTATGGGGGGCCTGATTGGACGTATAAGGGATGCCTCTATTTCCTGGATTGTCTGGCCTCAGCGTCCGGTCTCCTCTCTGTCTTCCGACCACAATGGCTGAGGGTTTACCTCCCTCTCCTTTACCTTCGTGTGATTGTCTACCTCCCTTCATCTCAATCTCCTCGAGCCCTTCCATCCCTCCGTTCTCCTTCTCTCTACCCTCCCCCTTTCTGTTCTCTTGTCCCTGCTCCTCTTCCTCTTCCTCCCCATCCTTGTCGTCCTCCCCAGGATAATAGTGTTTGTTATTTCCCAGCATCCTTTGCTGTGCAGGGTCACTGCAGAGAGGGCCGGGTGACATTGCTGTCGTGGCAACGTGACATGGTTGTCCCATGCGACATCGTCTTCACCCCCAAAAACATGCTGTGGAGGAGAGAGGGAGAGAAAGGGGTTAACTAAATAGCTAATTAACACATTGACTGATAACACTGAAATCAACACATTTCTCAAACTGTGAGAAAATAAATCAAAAAGCATTAAATGTAAAGCATTTGGCATGAACAGTAGCGTAGCCATGAATGATGGTGGATGACGTTGGGATTACCCACTGCCCCATTGTCATTCATGGTCGGAATTGGTTTGGGGTATTTGGAGCGGCTTCACTTTTGTACAAATTTATAAAAAATAAAAAATAATGAAAATGAAGGCGGTGTAGACTCAGACCGACAGATGGAGCTCAATAAAACATCACGAGACCACAGGGATAGTATTCATTTTGGACTCTAGTAGCAGGCACAACTCGGACAGACGGCCTGCTTCTGGAAATACTCATGATTTTGAAAGAATTACAGACATGAGAAAAGTGCAGACACATAACTCCCATGGGGAACATGGCAAACATAATGGATAGATAAGGTCTAGGGTTTTGAACCAGTGTTTGTGTGTCAGCACCATTGAATGACAGTTGTTGGAAGTATGTTTGATGCACGCAAATCAATAGGGTTTGTTCATGTCTCAGAGCCCAAACAGGAAGCATGCCCATTGAATAGTTCTGGTGTAAAGTAAGAGGGTGAAAAAGAGGATTGAGCATGTTGTGAAAGTGATTCACAAGGATGGCCACTTCACTGTGAACAACGGTCTGTCAGAGGAAGTGAGGCTGGCATGCCAGGGAGATGAGCGGCCGGCTGGAGAATGGTGGTGAGGGGAAGAAGGAAATGTGTCTCAAACCACTTCATCAACCACATATACTGTACAGTCGTGGTCAAAAGTTTTGAGAATGACACAAATACTAATTTTCATTAGTCTGCTGCCTCAGTTTTGATGATGGCAATTTGCATATACTCCAGAATGTCATGAAGAGTGATCAGATGAATTGCAATTAATTGCAAAGTCCCTCTTTGCCATGAAAATGAACTTAATCCCCAAAAAACATTTCCACTGCATTTCAGCCCTGCCACAAAAGGAACAGCTGCCATCATGTCAGTGATTCTCTCGTTAACACAGGTGAGAGTGTTGACGAGGATAAGGCTGGAGATCACTCTGTCATGCTGATTGAGTTACAATAACAGTCTGGAAGCTTTAAAAGGAGGGTGGTGCTTGAAATCATTGTTCTTCCTCTGTTAACCATGGTTACCTGCAAGGAAACACGTGCTGTCATCATTGCTTTGCACAAAAAGGGCTTCACAGGCAAGGATATTGCTGCTAGTAAGATTGCACCTAAATCAACCATTTATCGGATCATCAAGAACTTCAAGGAGAGAGGTTCAATTGTTGTGAAGAAGGCGTCAGGGCGCCCAAGAAAGTCCAGCAAGCGCCAGGACCGTCTCCTAAAGTTGATTCAGCTGCGGGATCGGGGCACCACCAGTGCAGAGCTTGCTCAGGAATGGCAGCAGGCAGGTGTGAGTGCATCTGCACGCACAGTGAGGCGAAGACTTTTGGAGGATGGCCTGGTGTCAAGAAGTGCAGCAAAGAAGCCACTTCTCTCCAGGAAAAACATCAGGGACAGACTGATATTCTGCAAAAGGTACAGGGATTGGACTGCTGAGGACTGGGGTAAAGTCATTTTCTCTGATGAATCCCCTTTCAGATTGTTTGGGGTATCCGGAAAACACCTTGTCTGGAGAAGACAAGGTGAGCGCTACCATCAGTCCTGTGTCATGCCAACAGTAAAGCATCCTGAGACCATTCATGTGTGGGGTTGCTTCTCAGCCAAGGGAGTGTGCTCACTCACAATTTTGCCTAAGAACACAGCCATGAATAAAGAATGGTACCAACACATTCTCCGAGAGCAACTTCTCCCAACCATCCAAGAACAGTTTGGTGACGACCAATGCCTTTTCCAGCATGATGGAGCACCTTGCCATGAGGCAAAAGTGATAACTAAGTGGCTCGGGGAACAAAACATTGACATTTTGGGTCCATGGCCAGGAAACTCCCCAGACCTTAATCCCATTGAGAACTTGTGGTTGATCCTCAAGAGGCGGGTGGACAAACGAAAACCCACAAACTCGGACAAACTCCAAGCATTGATTATGCAAGATGTCAGGATGTGGCCCAGAAGTTAATTGACAGCATGCCAGGGCGGATTGCAGAGGTCTTGAAAAAGAAGGGTCAACAATGCAAATATTGACTCTTTGCATAAACTTAATGTAATTGTCAATAAAAGCCTTTGACACTTATGGAATGATTGTAATTATACTTCAGTATACCATAGTAACATCTGACAAAAATATCTCATAACACTGAAGCAGCGAACTTTGTGAAGACCAATACATGTGTAATTCTCAAATCTTTTGACCACGACTGTATACTGAACAAAAATATAAACGCAACATGTAATGTGTTGGTCCCATGTTTCATGAGCTGAAATAAAATACACAAAAAGTTTATTTCTCTTAAACTTTGTGCACAAATTTGTTTACATCCCTGTTAGTGAGCATTTCTCCTTTGCCAAGATAATCCATCCACCTGACAGGTGTGGCATATCAAGAAGCTGATTAAACAGCATGATCATTGCACAGGTGCACCTTGTGCTAGGGACAATAAAAGGTAACTCTAAAATGTGCAGTTTTGTCACACAACACAATGCCACAGATGTGTCAAGTTTTGAGGGAGCGTGCAATTGGCATGCTGACTGCAGGAATGTCCAACAGAGCTGTTGCCAGAGAATTGAATGTTCATTTCTCTACCATAAGCCGCCTCTAATGTCATTTTAGAGAATTTGGCAGTGCGTCCAACCGGCCTCAAAACCGCAGATCACGTGTAACCACGCCAGCCAAGGACCTCCACATCCAGCTTCCTCACCTGCGGGATCATCTGAGACCAGCCACCCGGACAGCTGATGAAACTGTGGGTTTGCACAACCGAAGAATTTCTGCACAAACTGTCAGAAACCATCTCAGGGAAGCTCATCTGCGTGCTCGCCGTCCTCCCCAGGGTCCTGACCTTACTGCAGTTTGGTGTCGTAACCGACTTCAGTGGGCAAATGCTCACCTTTGATGGCCACTGGCAAGCTGGAGAAATGTGCTCTTCACCGATTAATCCCGGTTTCAACAGTACCAGGCAGATGGCAGACAGCGTGTCTGGTGTTGTGTGGGAGAGTGGTTTGCTGATGTCAACATTGTGAACAGAGTGCCCCATGGTGGCGGTGGGATTTTGGTATGGAAAGGCATAAGCTATGGACAATAAACACAATTGCATTTTATCGATGGCAAATTGATTGCACAAAGATACCATGATGAGATCCTGAGGCCCATTGTTGTGCAATTCATCCGCCGCCATCACCTTATGATTCAGCATGATAATGCACTGCCCCATGTCGCAAAGATCTGTACACAATTCCTGAAAGCTGAAAATGTCCCAGTTCTTCCATGGCCTGCATACTCACCAGACATGTCACCCATTGAGCATGTTTGGGATGCTCTGGATCGACGTGTACGACAGCGTGTTTTCCAGTTCCCGCCAATATCCAGCAATTTCACATAGCCATTGAAGAGGAGTGGGACAACATTCCACAGGCCACAATCAACAGCCTGTTCAACTCTATGCGAAGGAGATGTGTCACGCTGCATGAGACAAATGGTGGTCACACAGATACTGACTGGTTTTCTGATCCACGCCCCTACCTTTTTTTAAAGGTATCTGTGACCAACATATGCATATCTGTATTCCCAGTCATGTGAACTCCATAGATTAACGACTAATGAATTTATTTCAATTCACTGATTTCCTTATATGAACTGTAACTCAGTAAATCTTTGAAATTGTTGCATTTTGTTGCATATTTTGTTCAGTGTACATTAGAGAGGGAGGCTCAATGAAAAACATTGTAAGGGCCAAAGTATGTGCATAAAATAAAAAAATAAAAAAATATCTAATATACAGTACCAGTCAAAAGTTTGGACACACCTACTCATTCAAGGGTTTTTCTTAATTTGTTAAATGTTTTACATTGTAGAATAATAGTGAAGACGTCAAAACTATGAAATAACACATATGGAATCATTTAGTAACCAAAAAAGTGTTAAACAAATGAAAATATATTTTATATTTGAGATTCTTCAAATAGCCACCCTTTGCATTGACAGCATTGCACACTCTTGAAATTCTCTAAACCAGCTTCACCTGGAATGCTTTTCCAACCGTCTTGAAGGAGTTCCCACATATGCTGAGCACTTGTTGGCTGCTTTTCCTTCACTCTGCTGTCCGACTCATCCCAAACCATCTCAATTGGGTTGAGGTCGGGGGATTGTGGAGGCCAGGTCATCTGATGCAGAACTCCATCACTCTCCTTCTTGGTAAAATAGCCCTTACACAGCCTGGAGGTGTGTTGGGTCATTGTCCTGTTGAATAACAAATGATAGTGGGACTAAGTCTAAACCCGATGGGATGGCGTATCGCTGCAGAATGCTGTGGTAGCCATGCTGGTTAAGTGTGCCTTGAATTCTAAATAAATCACAGACAGTGTCACCAGCAAAGCACCCCCACACCATAACACCTCCTCCTCCATGTTTTACGGTGGGAACTACACATGCAGAGATCATCCGTTCACCCACATCACGTCTCACAAAGACACGGCGGTTGGAACCAAAAATCTCAAATTTGGACTCCAGACTAAAGGACAAATTTCCACCGGTCTAATGTCCATTGCTCATGTTTCTTGGCCCAAGCAGGTGTCTTCTTCTTATTGGTGTCCTTTAGTAGTGGTTTCTTTGCAGCAATTCGACCATGAAGGCCTGATTCACACAGTCCCCTCTGAACAGTTGATGTTGAGATGTGTCTGTTACTTGAACTCTGTGAAGCATTTATTTGGGCTGCAATTTCTGAGGCTGGTAACTCTAATGAACTTATCCTCTACAGCAG